TAATGTTCTCAGTCCCACTGCAGATACTGTTCTCAGTATACCTTAGTTTATTTTTTTAGCCAAGGCACAGGTGGGGAAGGCTGAGTAAGCATCAAGTTTGACACCTGGATGATCCTTAGCCCTTCTTCCTTCCAAGTAAGATACAGTAAATTGAGTTTAATGCAGTTTGTAGTTTACTCTGGATGGTGGATAGGGATTGGGTTCGGATGAAAAGAAAGTAATGATTTAAAATGAGGTCATGTCTACTTTGTGTGGACTTTAGATTTCATGGCCCTCTTACTAGAGTGGAAGTTTGCTTTGATATCTATGGTCAAAACTATTCATCTGCCCACTGTTGTGCAACACATTATGAACTGGCTTTCTACCTGGCTGCAGCCCTCCATCCCCACAATGACTGGATTTCATTGGCAGTGAGCTTTTAAATGCTTTAGATACTTTTGAGATGAAAGGTAATGAATAATTTAAAATATACTTTATGGTGTGATGTTGCACACCCAATCTTCAACAAGCAAGATTTAAAAAAAAAAAAAATCTGTAGAAGATTTACACTGGAAAAGTGTTCTTGATCTTCAGAGTTTAGCATTCTTTTAAAAGATTTTTTTTTTTTAAAGGTATGATGTAAAACCACAAAATCAAGAAAACTCTCAAGCTTGACCATAAAAATTCCAGTATTTACGGGCAACAGGATGCAGATGGGATAGTGTTAATGATGGGATAGTTATAGCTAGGTACTACTGGAGAACTGATTCTTAACTATGATTTTCTGTGCTTTTGTGAGTTAAAGCCAGAGCTCCAACATTCAATACAGTATGTGGTGTGAAAAGCATATAAAGTATAACAATTTGTATCCAGCAACCAAAGCAGAGAAAAGGACTACCAAATTAAAAACCTGTTTCATTCCCAGAAATGTAGGGCTGGAAGGGACCTTGAGAAGTCAAGTCCAGCCCACTGTGCTGAGGCAGAACCAAATATACCTAGACCATCCCTTATCGTTGTTTTGTCCAACCTGTTCTTAAAAGCCTCCAATGATGGGGATTCCATGACGTCCCTTGGAAGTCTATTCCAGAGATTGATTATCTTTAGAGTTAAAGATTTTCTTATTAGCTAACCTAAATCTCCATTGCTGCAGGTTAAGCCCATACATCTTGTCCTTCCTTCAGTGAACATGGAAAACAGTTGATCGTTGTCCTGCTCACAACAGTCCTTAACATACTTGAAAACTGTTATCAGGTTCCCCCTCAGGCTCCTTTTCTCAAGGCTAACCATGCCCATTTTTTTTAACCTTTCCTGATAGGTCACATTTTCTAAACCTTTTATCATTTTTGTTGCTCTTCAATGGACTCTCGCTAATTTGTCCACATCTTTCCTTAAAGTGTGGCACCCAGAATTGGCCACAGTATTCCAGTTGAGGCCTCACTAGTGCTAATGAGAGGGGGGCAGTTACCTGCTGTGTCTTACATATGACACTCAAGTTAATATACCTACGACTGATGTTAGCCTGTTTTGCAATTGCATCACAATTGTTGACTCATATTCAATTTGTGATCCACTATAACCTCTAGATCCTTTTCAGCAGTGCTACCATCCCACCAGTTATTCCACATTTCGTAGTTGCGCATTTGATTTTTCCTTCCATCCTAAGTAAAGTACTTTGCACTTGTCTTTATTGAATTTCATCTTGTTGACAAGGCTGGCTCCAGAGTTTTTGCTGCCCCAAGCAGCAAAGCAAAGAAAAAAAAAAGGCCGTGATCTGCGGCACTTCGGCGGCAGCTCTACCGCCGCCACTTCAGTCTTCGGTGGCAATTCGGCGGCTGGTCCTTCGCTCCAAGAGGGAGTGAGGAACCCGCCGCCGAAGAGCCGGACTTGCTGGGCTGGTGCCTGGAGCTGGCCCTGCTTGTTGATTTCAGAGCAATTGTCCAATTTGTCAAGGTTGATTTGAATTCTAATTCTGTGATCCAAAGTGCTTGCAACCCCTCCCTGCTTTTTATCATCCACATATTTTATACGCATACTCTCCGGTCCATTATTCAAGTCATTAATGAAAACATTGTTGGTTCCCCACTCGAAAAGTCCTCCCAGTTTGACAGTGAACCATTGACAACTACTCTTTGATTATGTTCTTTCAACCACTTTTGCACCCACTGTAGGAGCAAGAGAGAGCCTGGAGCACTGGGCCTGGTGTAAGATCTGAGATCTGAACCAGAGGCTGTGAACCAAAGTTAGGCCATGTATTAAAGTAGATGTTTACAAGTTCACTGCCCAATATATGACCTTGGCAAAAGTATTGCTAGCATTGCTAAAACACAGGCATTCCTAAGAAGCAACAGATATTGTGTGAGAACACATTCCAAAATATTAGTTTAGGAAGATCCTGACCTAATACTAAATAAGAGGATGTTTTGCACAAGACACCTGAGCATGATACAAAGGGAGGTAACAAGCAGATGTCATGAAACACATGAGGTGGTATGTAAGTTGTTTTTCTTAATCTATAAATTTTGGGGTTCTTTGCCTTAACCCTTTGTGCAGCCAAGGGGACAACAGAAATTCCTGCTGCTGACTGAACTGTTCCTTGCTATCAGGCACTCGTGTTAATGTACCTGTAACCATGGAACTGCGACACTAGTACTGTGCCTTAAAGGCAGTAAACCTGGCCGATTGCCTTCATCACCGAACCATGCCAGTGCTCTTTCTTTATGAATAACATTGAGATCTGTTGAATTAACAAGCTGCATTCTATGCTTGTGTTAATAACATTGGCATTCCAGAGAGAGAAACACTGAGCAGCTGTAACAGCTCAAAGCAGCACCTGGACAGTGTTATCACAGCAACGACATTCCAGCTTTCAGCTCTTAACAACATCCACCATATAATAATTTCATCTAAACCACATTTCTCTAGTTAGCTATGAGAATGTCATGTTGGACTATGTCAAAAGCCTTACTAAAATCAAGATATATCACGTCTACTTCTTTCCCCCATCCACTAAACCAGTAACCCTGTCAAAGAAGGAAATAAGGATGGTTTGGCATGATTTGTTCTTGACAAATCCATGCTGGCTATTCCTGATACTCTATTTTTAATCTTCTAAATGCTTACAAATTGATTGTTTAATAATTTGTTCAAGTATCTTTCCAGGTATCAAAGTTAGGCTGACGGATCTATAATTCCCCAGATCCTTTTTGTTCCCTTTTTAAAAGATAGGTACTATGTTTGCCCTTCTCCAGTCCTCCGGGACCTCACCCAACTACCATGAATTCTCAAAGATACCAATGTTGCTTCAGCTAGTTCCTTAAGTACCCAAGACTGAATTTCATCAGGCCACGCAGACTTGAATACATCTAATTAATGTTCTTTAACCTGTTCTTTCCCTATTTTGTCTTTAGTTCCTTCTCCTTGTTGTTAATAGTAATTGTGCTAATTTTTAGTGAAGTCTGAAGCAAAATAGGTGTTAAACACCTCAGCTTTCTTGATGTCATCAGTTATTAGCTCTTCTTCCCTGCTAAGTAGGAGACCTACACCAGTGGTTCTCAACCAGGGGTACGTGTATCCCTGGAGGTAGACAGAGATCTTCCAGGGGATACATCAGCTCATCTATATTTGCCTATTTTTACAACAAGCTACATAAAAAGCACTAGCAAAGTCAGTACAAACTAAAATTTCATACAGACAAAATGAGAAAGTAAGCAATTTTTCAGTAATAGTGTGCTGTGACACTTTTGTACTTTTATATCTGATTTTGTAAGCAAGCAGGTTTTTATGTGAGGTGAAACTTGGGGTACGCAAGACATATCAGACTCCTGAAAAGGGTACAGTAGTCTGGAAAGATTGAGATCCACTGACCTACACTATCCTTTCCTTCTCTTGTTCCTAATGTATTTAAAGAACCTCTTCCTGTTGCCTTATGTCTTATGCTACATGTAACTCATTTTGTGATTTTAGCCTTTCTGAGAATGTCTCTACGTGCTTGTGCTATTATTTTTTACACCTCTTTAGCAATTTGTCCATGTTTCCACTTCTTGTAGGATTTCTTTTTAATTTTCAGATCATAGAAGAGCTCTTGATGGAGCCATATTGGCCTCTACCTACCTTTCCTTCTCATTGGGATAGTTTTCAGTTGTGCCTTTAATATTGTTTCCTTGAGAAATTCAGCTCTCTTGAACAGTTTTTTCCCTTAGATTTTCTTCAGTTCGGAGTTTAATGTCTGCTTTTTTAAAGTCCATTGTCCTTATTTTGCTGCTTTCACTCCTTCCTTTCCTTAGATTCACGAAATCTATCATGATCACTTTCACCCAAATTTCCTTCCACCTTCAGATTCGCAACCAATTCCTCCCTGTTGGTGAGAATTAGTTTTTTAAATCGGGTTTTTGAGAGCACTGTATACATGTAGGCCAATATTTTCCAAAATGGTACCTAAAATTAGATTTCTACAACAATATTTAGTAATATTTAATATTGAGTGAATTTATTTTCAAAATGCTGAGCACCCTGTAACTCTCATTAAAGTCACTGGGAACAGTTAAGTGCTTAAGCAGTTTGAAAAATATGTGACTTATTTAGATGCCTAAATATTAGTTTGGAGCCTAACTGTAGGTTCCTGCTTTTGAAAATTCTGGCCTTAAAAACATACTTTCCACATGGTTCAACATATTGACTTTAGATATTCACATATGCCAGTAAGTGGGTTGTCAGATTATTTTTTACATAACATATGTTCAGATTCTTTTAAGAATAGACATTTTTTTGTTTCTGTGTTTTGCATACTTGTTAGTAAATGTTTATAAGCCTGCTTTTTCCAAGAAGCAGTATTGTTGTTCGATACTTCTCAATTTGTTATATGTCTAAATTTCTCTATGTTTAATGCTAATCCTATCAAGAATGATATAAATCACTACTATAACAAGAGTCAAAGCAATCAGAGAGCATAATCTTAAAAGTTGCGCTGATACCATATTTGAATGTGCATTTTAAGAGTTGAAATGGGTTTTACTTTCTTGTAGGAGAAATCTCAACTATTTTTCCAATGCTTATGCTGCTGCGGTCAGTGCTGTGGACCCAGATGCTGGAAATGGAGAACTCTGCATTAAGGTTCCTTCAGAGCTGTGGAAACACGTTGATGGTAAAGTGTAGAGACCATATTGATACTTAAATTAAGGTACTGCAGATTTGATAGCCAGGGCATTTTGTATTGAAAGACATTAGATTTAAGTAAACATAAATAATATATTAAATTCTATAGATTTAATTAGAATGACTCTTTCCCCTTCCCCGCAAAAAACCCCCACCAACACCTTTTTGGAAAGAATAAACAGCCCGGATCCACAAAGGGACGGGTGTTGCAGCGTTCAGTGCCACATGGAGTTGGGCAACTTAATATGGGCTACAGGGGAGATGCATATCTGCTTGCAATTCAAAACCAGGAACTCCTCTACTGATATCAGATGGCTTAGGCTTTTTTTGTTTTTTTAAAGTGTAACAAAGGAAGGAAAGGGGAAGTTGATAGTAGTGAATATAAATAAGAAGTTAGCAATTGTAAAAAAAATTGATAAGGGAAACAAAAGGACATAAGGAGAAATCTATGGCCATCAGGGATAAGGACAACAAAAAGGAGTTTTTAACGTATATTAGGAACAAAAAGAATCCTGACAGTGCTATTGGTCCACTACTAGATGGAAATGGTAGGATTATCAATAATAATGTGGAAAAGGCAGAACTGTTCAATAAATATTTTTCTTCTGTATATGCGGAAAAAACATGATATAGTCTCATCATATGGTGATGATAACACTCTTTCCATTCCACCCTCATCTCTAGAGAATGTTAAACAGAAGCTACTAAAGTTAGACATTTTTAAATCAGCAGGTCCATGTGTTTTAAAAGAGCTAGCTGAGGAGCTCACTGGACTGTTAATGTTGGTTTTCAATACGTCTTGGAGCACTGGGGAAGTTCCAGAAGACTGGAAGAAATCTAATTTTGTACCAATTTAAAAAAGGGTAAAGGGGCTGACCCAGGTAATCATAGGTCTGTCAGCCTGACATCCATCCCAGGCAAGATAATGGAGCAGCTGACATAGGACTCGATTAATAAAGAATTAAGGGAGGGTAATGTAATTAATGCAAATGTACATGGGTTTCTGTAAAATAGATCCTGTCAACCTAACTTGATATTTTATTTATGAGAAGAGCCATAAGAATTAGTAAGAGATTAAAAAACATGCCTTCTAGTGATAGATTGAAAGTGTTTGATCTATTTAGCTTAACAAAGAGAAGGTTAAGGGATGACTTGATTAGGGTCTGTAAGTATCGACTTGGGGAACAAATATTTAATAATGGGGTCTTCAGTCTAGCAGAAAGAGGTCTAACATGATCCAATGGCTGGAAGTTGAAACTAGACAAATTGAAACTGGAAATAAGGCATACATTTTTAACAGCGAGGGTAATTAACCATTGGAACAATTTACCCAGGATTGCAGTGGATTCTTCATCACTGACAATTTTTAAATCCAAATGGGATGTTTTTCTAAAAGATCTGCTCTAGGAATTATTTTGGGGAAGTTCTATGGCCCATATTATACAGGAGGTCTGACTAGATGATCACAATGATCCCTTCTGGCCTTGGAATCTATGAATTTAGGTGCCTAAGCTGTTTTTTTCTGAGAATGAGTTAAGCACCTGCCTTGCTTAATGCAAAATGAGAGGAAGAGGAGGAAGAGATGGTGGTGATGCCCACCTTTATAACTTTTAGCCCAGTGATTAGAAACTCACCTGGGATGTGGAAGACCCAGGTTGAATTCTTCCCTCTGCCTGAGGTGGTAGAGGATTTGAACAAGGGTCTCCCATACATCTCAGGAGATTGCTCTAACCACTGAGCTATGAGATGTTCTGTTAAAGCTGTTCTTCTTCGGATAAATAATCACAGGAGCAGGGGGACTAGTACCTGGGTCTCCCACCTCCCAGGTGGATGCCCTAAACACCAGGCATTAGAATCATATTCTCTCTCTTTCTACCTCTTATTCAGTGCCTCTGATTATTTATCCAAAATGGAACAGCTTCAACAGGAGCAATTGAGGGAGCAGTACAGTTTAGGCACCCAAGTACTTTTGTGGATATGGACCACACATCACTCACAAGAGCTTTTAAAAATAGCCCTTTTGCCTTAAATGCACAGGCTTTTGGGGTAATGCTTTACCTGTCAATGTCAGTCTTCTGAAGCTATCCATTTTCACAAGGATAATTCGAAAGGGCATTCTGACTCATGGCTTCGAGCTTTCCTTGTGATAGTTAAGAAAATGGTTCAGTTACCCCTCTCTAGTGAGTTCTGTTTTTTAAGTCTATTGGTGAAAGCCAAATATCTTGCATGTTAAAATTATTTTTGTAAACTAAATCAAGGTATATGGGAGCCAATTAGGCATATTTTTGTAAGGATATGTGTATTTTCATATCTTCATCTATTTTTAAAGTTACATTTCTCTTTTGACTGTCACATTGTGGGAGGTTTTATTTTATTTTATTTTATTTTTGTGTGTGGGTGGTCTGGTACATATTGTGAAGGAGAAATATAGATTTATGTGTAGACTGGAATAACTGTGCTGGAACAGTATAACAGTTAATTTATATTTTCTGGGATGTATTTACATCAATCTTTCCTAGATTAAGCTTCTGCAATGATGGTGTCCTTTAATAGTTGACACTTATTGTATTTACTAGCTCCAAAGCCCTGGTAAAGATGTTTTAGTATTGGGGCGTTGGAAGGTGAAAAGGAACCACAAGTGAAGGTTTTCATTAATATAAAAATTTTAATATAGAAAATAGTTTGATAGCTTGATGGTACATTACAATATTTAAGCTTTAAATGCCCCAATTGTGTGAGTTGCTGAATGTTCTCCACTCCCCCTGAAGTTAATGAGAGTTGAGGGCACACAGTACCTTGCAAGATTGAGCCCTGTGAATGTTTCCTGTAAAATAAATGTTATATGAATTGCTTTCATACACACACTAAACACATGGTTGCTTTCTTACTGCTGTAGAGTTAAAAGTCCTAAAGGTGCACATAAATTTTTCTCTGGACCAGCCAAAGGGAGGCCTTCATTTTGTGGTGCCTAATGTAGAAGGTAGCATGGCAGAGAGAGGGGCCCATGTCTTTTCTTGTGGATATCAAAATTCTACAAGGTAAGAATCTTAATCCTCAAATGTTATATTGCATAACGGATCTTGAGTATCTTACAGAATCTCAGCATATTGGAAATACTCGTAATAATTCCACGGTTTTCTAATTTAGTTTCTTGTGGAAAATGTCAGTTATTTAATCTCAAACTTCTGTTTGGAGTGAATTCAACAGAGTCTGGCACAAAATGAACCACTGGAGATTTCTAAAGTCTGCGTGGCATAATTTAATGGGAAACAGTAGCAAAGAAGCTTCCACTGCTGGCAGACTTGTGTGAAGTTGGTGCATAGTGAGAGCTATAGAGTGGGGTTGCCTGCATGCCAAGTACCAAAGTATTTAGGAATATATATAGCCTGGAATTGGAGAGGAAAAACTTGTCATAAAAAAGAAAAGTATGTAGTGTTTTCTTATTCTTTTCTTTTTTAACATCCTAATCTTTTTCCTAGATTTTGGTTTCCTTGTGTTGATTCATACTCTGAACTGTGCACATGGAAATTAGAATATACAGTAGATGCTGCAATGGTGGCTGTTTCAAATGGAGATTTGGTGGAAACAATATATACCCATGATATGAGAAAGAAGACCTTTCATTACATGCTGACTATTCCAACTGCGGCTTCTAACATCTCTCTGGCCATAGGACCCTTTGAAATCCTTGTTGATCCATACATGCATGAGGTAATAATCTTCAGAGGACTCTCCTTTTTAGAGAACTGGTAACTTTATTTCATTTTAGTGCCTATAGCTAGATCCAGCAAGTATCAGTCCAAGAAAGATATATGATTAACATACCAGTCTCTGCTAGTACAATTATGGGATGATACTGATCTAGTGTTACCTTTATAAATCCTGGTAATGTTTTGTATCTCTGAAATAAAACTCTAGGTAGAAGTCAGGGAACTAGATTAGTTGGGATTGGTAAAAGGATACCTTTTCCAATAGGTTTAAATACAAGCCAGTGCTCATAGTGACTACAAGTTGTTACCACATAGTTCAGTGGCTTATATAAATAAATTGGTAGCAAGAGTCTCTTTTATGGTGGCCTGTTGTGTTGTCCATGTCCACAAAATGAGCCATTATGATTTATACTCTTGTCTATATTCTCAGAGAGACTGAAGATGAACTAGGCAGGCAAATTAAACTACCTTTTCACCCCAGGAAGTGGCCCATCTATGTCCCTCTTGGTTGGAGTTCAAGCATGGTGGGGGTATTGTTGGTAAACCTACACTACTGATGTCTATGCTGTATTTGATCTGTGGAAAAATTGAAGACTTTAGTCTCCAGTACTGACAGTCTGGTATCTTTCACAGGAATAAATTAACTTTTCAGAAAATCTGGTGGGAAATATAATATCTATTATAAAAATTAGTGGAAGTGATCTGAAAAATCCAGTGATAAAGAAACAGAAATGGCATTTCTGCAGTGTTTTAATGGTTTGGGGGCTACTAATGACATTGATCCAAAGACTCTCATGGCTGATGTTACTTCACAGAAATCAATGGTGTTAGACCTGTCATAATTCTTAAAAATTAGGTCCATTGTTACCAATTGCACAGTAACCTTTGGGGAAATAACAATAACAAAAAGGTACTTACTAGGATGAGGATATGATGTAGTTGAAACTAAATAACAATAGCGACATTTGATTCACTTGCTGCTGTCCAATATAAAATAATGCATTATTGTGTAAAGGAAGATAGTGTTCAACAAGGTCACTGATGGATTTAAAAAAAAAGTTATGCCTTTGAATGGTAGACATCCTTTGTAATGCTTCCCAATCTCCTGGTCCAAAATAGTCTCTGTATGTTGACCTGTAGTGCACACTGGTGAATGGGCTAACTTTAAAAGTTTAGTACTGCATACCTGTGTACCTTGACTCGTTATACAATACCTTTCAAATAAATTATTTTTCTGTTGTAGCTCTCACAATTAAGATTGGCATCACTGTGTCCTTTCCTTCCATGATACCTGTTACCACAGCTGTAAAAATGTTGGTTTCTGTTACATTGAAGTGGCCTCTTACATAGGGACAACACTGTTTTTCTTTTGACTTTTTTTTCTTTGTTTTAAATGTTATGTAATGTTAAAATTTGATATTTATATATTTAAATATTGTTAAGTTTCCTGTTAAATTAATTTTGTTTTGTTTTTTTAGGTGACTCATTTTTGTTTACCACAGCTTCTCCCATTGCTCAAACACACCACGTCATACCTTCATGAGGTCTTTGAATTCTATGAGGAGATTCTTACCTGTCGCTACCCTTACTCCTGTTTCAAGACTGTTTTTGTAGATGAAGCATATGTTGAAGTAGCTGCTTATGCTTCCATGAGTATTTTTAGGTTAGTATTTATAGCACTCATATGTCTAAAAATTTGTGCTGAGAGAGAACCCTAGACTGCATCCCTTTTCTGGTGATGAGAAGATTAGGGCCAAAAATTTCTAAGTTGGGTGCCTAAAGTCAGGCACTTAAATAAGGGCTTGATTTGCAAAGGTGTGGAATGTCCACAACTCATATTGGCTTCATAGCCTGACTTTTAAGGCACCCAAGTTTTAAAATATTGGCCTTTGTCCATACTGCTGTCTTTTAACATAAGTTTCTAGTTTCCTACTTTTTACAAAGACATTTATATTTAAAATAGCAAAACAAAACCCAGCATTTGCAAGGCTGCATTTTGCTTTCTGTAATCAGAATTGCTGTCACATAAAACATTTAAGGTTGTGTTAAATAAAGTGCAGCTGTCTTACTGAAGTTTATGACAATTTGTTATATTTCTTCAGCTGGAAAAAGATGCCATGTATCCATAGAGTTTCACCAGATAAAACATAAAAAGCAAACTAGCATTAGTTCTGCATTTGGGACAGAAGCATTTTATGCATGTGAAAACATCTGGAGATCTTTAGGTCATTTAAAGAGTCTGTCTTTAGGTTATTTAGAAGAAAAATAGAAATTAAGTTCTGCATGGCAAAACAGTGAAAGGTTCCCAGATTATAGTATCACATCTCGTATTTTGTTTTGATTGTGTTTCCTTCTCTTGTAGATAGTGCTTATGTTCTTTTTTTGTTTTGATCTAGCACAAATCTTTTACACAGTGCAATGATTATAGATGAGACTCCACTGACAAGGAGATACTTAGCTCAGGCTCTGGCTCAGCAATTTTTTGGCTGTTTTATATCCAGAATGTCCTGGTGAGTACCATAAAACAGTACTATATACAAAATGGTAATAGGATATTTTGGAAGTATAATTTGCATGTTGCATTTTACCCTAACGGTAGGCGAAGCAGTAACCTTAGAAGAAATAATACAAATCATTAGGATCATCAGTGAATAAGAATTCAAGAGAAATTGTTTGGTTTCCCACTGAAAGAGAAATTAAAGAAAAAACATTGTTCCCACCAGCTACTAATTACTGAAATTATATAACCTAATGTATGCAGTCATTATCAAATAAGGTAGGGCAAAGTGAGTAAAAGAACTAAATCTTAGATCAGAATCTGACATTAGAGGTTGATTGTAATAGTCAATAAAAAAAATGGTAAGGGTTCTATGAAAAAATGATGAATGAAGGGTACTAACTAGACTTTTGAGACCTGTAGCTGTTGGACCCATGCAAGCTGATCAGGGCTGTGAGTTCTGGTTCTGGAATAGGTTAATCTGTTCAGGAGAAAAAGTATCTCATAGGGGTATGGAAGACAGTGGTTCTGGGCATTTAGATATGCACAAAGAAGATTAATCTCATGTTATAGGCAGAGCTATTAGTGCTGCCTTTAGTTAAAGTTACCCAACGCTTTCCATTAAGATTTTTTTTTTATAAAGTTGAATATCATTTTGCCAAATCTTAACTATTTGGGCTGAAATTTTCCATGTCGGCTCTCTGCCTCAGGTTGAATTTGAAAGTTTTAAGAAAAATAGCTTAGTTAAAATATTTTTTCCCCCCCATGTTAAAAAAATTCTTACAGCTGTTTTGTTGAGAAGCTGTAGTGCCTCTGTGCTTTGGAGCAAAGACTTGAAATTTGGCAGAGGGATTGCCTTTGTCTGAAGGATGTGCCTTTTGCTGTTCCTGTGAAAATGTGCCCAAATTTGGCTAAGTTATAAACCTTTGAAAAATTACACTATGCACATATTCTTAGAGTTTGGCAGGTACATTTTCTGAAGATTCCACCTACATTAGAGCTGCAGGGGCTGATCATGACTTTCCCAGTGATTGTTGCTCCCGGCTACTGCAGACTGCTGTGGTACGTGGCACTAGAACTGATGGCACGGAGACTCTCTTTTGTGCTCTCAGTATTGCCATCTGCTGCCACCCAGGCAGTGTGGAGGAGGAAGCAGCCTGACTGGATTTCAGAAGGAATAACAGGGTACTTGTGGAGTGGGAGAACTAGTAGATTATGACAAGGAGCCTGGTGAGGGTGGATACTGGGCCTGGGAGCTGGCAGGGGGAGGGAGAAGTCTGGGAGCAAAGAGAATGGGATTGGCTGGGCAAGTTTACTAGGATGGGGGAGCGCCTCACCTTCATAACTGTACAACTCTACCCATCAAAAATCTCTTGCAGTTTCTTTCTATTCTTACCCACCTGTCCATCAGCCTGTTAACATTCATGTAAAGTCCTGTCTATACTGTAGATTTCAGCCATTAGTGGCCTGCCACTGGTTTAGTGGCACCAGTTGAAACTCCTAGTGTAGACTAGGCAAAGCTACTCTGAACTATTTGCCCTGATGTATCTTAGCTGTGCTGAAGACTTGACTGGTCACTAATAGCTGTAATTGGGGCAAATTCCTGGTATAGACAAGGCCTTAGTGCACCTTACAAGGGCCCCTTTTGTGCTCTTTCTCCCACTCACATCTTTGCAGCCTTCTGTGCCACTCTTGTGCTTGCAACTGATGCTGTTGTTCACCAAACAGCTTACTTCTGTAGATTCATATCCCTCCTCAGAACGCACTTCTCAAAGTCATCTACCCAAGCATGAGATGGTTGGGGTGGCAAAACTAAAGATATTCTCTAGAATTATTTTAAGGAAGTACTGTGTGGTCTGTATTATACAGGAGAACAGACTAGATGATCATGATGTCCCTTCTGGCTTTGGAATCTGTGAATCAATGAATATCACATAAATCGGTTCACAGCTTATCAGGCTCCTATTGACTTAGACTTGAGAAGTTATGTAACCTGCTGAAATGTGTGCATTAGTGAAGCATGAGCTGCCCTTGGCTAGTTCAAAATACCCTGCAAGTCAAGGAGACAGAGTTCATAGTTGTTTCTTGTTGCAGGTCAGATGAGTGGGTGCTGAAGGGAATCTCTGGCTATATTTATGGCCTTTGGATGAAAAAAACCTTTGGTGTCAATGAATATCGCCACTGGATTAAGAAGGTAATGAGACAGAAGAAGTTTGTTCTTGTAAAGCATGCATACATTTTAATATCAAGATAAGGTAAGGTAGAAACCAAATAATACAGTTTTGAATTACAATTTAAAGGGACACTGTCAGGTTAAATCATACTTCTGACAGAACACAACATCTCCTGTTGTTGCAAGTGAAATACCTAATGGAAGAAATCTAGAAAGAAAATATTTTTCTTAATCTGTTTACTTTGTGCACAGTCATTGTCATTGCTTCCCCTTTATAGTCAGTTTCCTCTGCTTTGTTGGGTCTTTTGCCCAGTAACAAGGAAGAAAAGAAGAATGTGATTTTTAAACCTCAGATATTGATATTGGAACTCAGATACAGGTTATTACTTGAATCTGCTTCATCATTCTGTGGTGTCAGAGCTACCACTGGATCTCTCCTTGAACTATGGCGGTGATCCAATAGGGGCTCTGGTAACTTATCATATAGCCAGGGCTGGCTCCGGCTTTTTTGCTGCCCCAAGCGGCGAAGCGGAAAAAAAATAAAAATAAATAAATAAAGCCGCGATCGGCGGCACTTCGGCAGCCGCTCTACTGCGCCGCTTCATTCTTCAGCGGCAATTCGGCGGCGGGTCCTTCGCTCTGAGAGGGACTGAGGGACCCGCCGCCGAATTGCCGCTGAAGACCTGGATGTGCCGCCCCTTTCCATTGGCCGCCCCAAGCACCTGCTTCCTTTGTTGGTGCCTGGAGCCGGCCCTGCATATAGCATCATTTTGCAAAATATTTGTCTGTTATTCTTTTAAGGCTAGATTCATAAAGGAACTTAGGCATGGCAGTGCTGAGTGTTACCATGCTTAACTTCAGGTTCTTAGAAAATCACTGGGATCCACAAAGCCTGAATTAGGCATTCAAGCTTCCTGTACAATGAATGGAGAGGGATAGGCACCTAAGAATGGGATTCACAAAAGTCACACACTATGCAGCTCCCCACCTAAGCTAGCCAATGGAAGATGCCAAGGAGAGGGGTGTGTCTTAAGACTTTCCCTCCCTCCCTCCCTTTGGGAGTTTGGCATCTGGAGGGAGGCGCCTCCATCTGTGCAAACCCTCTTGGTATTAGGCGTCTACACCATTTTTGCAAGAAGCAGCGGAGGGAGGAGGAGGAGGGAGGAGGATCTTCCCTTTAACTTGTAGCCCAGTGGCTAGGTACTAACCTGGGATATGGGAGACCCCAGGTTCAAGTGCCTGATTGGGAGAAAGGCTTTGAACAGGGATCTGCCACCTCTCAGGTGAGTGCCCTAACCACTGGGCTAGGGGATATTCTGATGTGGGGCTCCGAGTTTCTCCTGTTGAAGCTGTTCCACTGTGCATAGATAAATAAGAAAGTCATTGGAGCAGGGGGATTGGATCCTAGGTTTCCCACCTCTTAAGTGAGTGCTCTAACCAGGCTATAGAATCATTTTCCTTCTCTCTCTCTTTCGCGCCCAATGACTCTTTCATTAAGATCCGTGATCCGGTAGGAGAGCTCTGAACCTGCTTGCTGGATCAAACTCTGCAGGCAAGTGAAGCAGAGGAACGCCTATCTTCCCACGGTTCATTTATCACAGTGCGGCGTCTGGACACTGAGAGTGCAGCTGAAGAGCACAGAGGCAGAAACAGAAGCACTTAAGGAGCTTTTACTACAAAAACTTAGGTGTTGAGTGAGTTTGGGAACTGACAGGGTTCAGTGGCAGCTGAGTGGTGAGTTTGTGAATCCCAGTGGGGCCTAGTTCTGGGATTCAGGTGCCTAAAGTAGCAATTAGGTGCCTAAATCCTTTTGTGAATGTAGCTCTTAGGCTGTAAAATTAAGTTAATAAAATGTCTTTGGTTTTGTGTTATAGCCTGTGTTTTGCAAAATACTTGTGTTTTAGACCAAAGCGTCTAAAATAATATACCACCAACTTCTAAAAGTGTACTTCATAATAAAAATGCCATTGACTTGCTATCCTGTGGGCTGCCTCCATAATCCAGAGGGATCCAATTGGTAGCTTTGACTTCACTGAATGATGCATCCTGGGGCATCACAAAAATGTAGAAGTTGGCCAGTGTGAATCAAGGGTGCTAAGATGAATCAAGGCGGACATTAGGATTTGTTATGGACTAAATATTCTGACCATGTTTCCTCAAAACTGCCTTAGCATCTTTACAGGTAGAAATATTAGACTTTGGTTATGCAGTAAGTTCTGCACAGGGTTCTGCCTAGATAGAGCTCATGGTGAGACTGGCCTTAGTAGTTAAATTTTTGGAGAGAAGGAATCACTTCTCACATAACTCATTTACCCATGTTTAACTCTCTCTTTCACAGCTCCTTCTCAATACTCATTACTGTTTCATGTTGAATAATCATGTTTGCAAAAAGCTCTGAAGTTGTAAAGCAAAATATATGTGCCTAATAATAGCACACAAGTTCAACCAAGAGTTTTTGAAATGGTTATGAACCCTTGGACTTTAGGGGATAAGCCAACCTCTAATTAATGGGGGCTAGAAAGAAAATTTCCCTGAAGATGTTAATTCTAGTTTTCTTATATCTCTTTCTGAAGTAGCTGGTACTATGTACTTTCAGAGACAGGATGCAAGACTAGATGGACTGGTCCAGTATGGCAATTCCTATGTTCCTTGTGCTAGTAGTAATCACAGGTGATAGATTATTCTTAGTGGAAACGCAAAACCAATCTGCCTTGGAAACGAAATCACCTCTCACTCCCAGATATTGGTGAAGTCCATTGCTTTTACTCATCAGGGGAACAGAGGAAGTTTATGCTCTAGCAAAGTGAATAGCAAAGTTCCTCTGATATGTTATCAACTGAATATTAAACTTTAGCTCTGTTATTCAGTTCTACTGCTTTATTTCTGTTTGCCTGGATGATGGACATCTGTTCTTCATTGTAATCCCGTAAATATTGCTAGCTCTCTGGTGCTAAAATATTTATTATGATTTTTTTTCTTAAACGAATTAGTAAAATTACTTCAAATACATTTCACTTGTTGTTGTTCAGGTCTGATCTCTGAGGTTAAGAAATGATCACTTTATAGAACACTGGAAAGCCCACTAATTAGCCTCTTCTGCTTAACAATATATACATTTTTATATATTGTACTTTTTAGGAGCTAGACCAAATAGTGGTATATGAACTGAAGACTGGCGGAGTTTTACTGCATCCAATATTTGGAGGAGGAAAAGAGAAAGACAAGTATGTTTGTTTAAACTATAAGTCATTGTAGGGTGTGTTTTTATGAGGCCATTAATATATACTTTGGGTGTGTTGTGAGGCACAAGGCCAAAGGCTGAAGGACTTCAGCTGCCTAAGGCATGTATTAATGGTCTCATAAAGTACATCATGGATGTAGTTTATCACTATTGTTTTATGAATCTCTAATTTTAAAACATAAAAACAGTTATTTTTATTGAATGTTTTTAATTCTGCTGTAAAAACCAGTTTTCATTACAGGGACAGGAGAGGGAAAGGGAGTTAAAAACTTAATTCCTGTTACTTTTACAATGATTTTTAAACAGCATTAATGGTGAATTTGGTGGTTGGATTTGTTTTTTTTTCTCTCTTGTTTCTGATACCACTTCTTGTTACATTCACTCTTTTGATGTTGAGCTTTTTGTCCTGTTAATTAGAAAAATGAAACTTAAAAGTAGACCAGCTGTTAAGAGCCATTGAGAAAAGTAGATGGGCTGGGCCATCTGCAGGAATGCTTTTCTGCTTTTGAGTGTATGCACATCCAGATTTAGTTTGGTTTAAAATCAGAACTCATAGCCTCAGAATACCCATTTAATAATTGTACACTGATTTAAAAAAAAAAAAAAAAAAACAGAGAAGGAAAGGACTTTCAGAATGAGAACTGGAATGTAACTAACAACCAATTTCCCACCTAGGTGAATCCTCAACCACACAAGGCTGTATGGTTGTTGACAGTTACAGAATCAGCTTTCATGTGCATTCCAGGCCATTACTCCACTTTGCCCGCCTGCTCATATTGGATTTTGCTTTAATTCAGTGCCCTGCTCTTTCACAAATAGCAAATCAGGCAAAATAATGAGATGGCCTTGCTGCGCATGCCTCTGGAAAACAAGGCATAGCTGGTACATCTAATTTTAGGCCTCCTGGCCTGGTTGATACCTTGTTAAACTAAATTGGGTGTGCTGAGCTAGGACTTGATTTAGTGTTGGGGTTTTTTGTTTTGTTTTGTTTTTGGCTTTTTGTTAGCAGCTAAAAGTATAACAGCAACATATTCTCCACTTCAGAGAAACTGACTTTCTATGAGTTGTGTTGGGGAAAACCACAAAAAAATAGATCAAGTTTTTTAAAAGCCAACAAACTAGAGCTACTACAAAAATGCAAGTAGATTCATATGGTCTCACATTTCTTGGGGTAGGGGATATAAGAAGAAATTCCAAAAAGGACTGAGTGTGTGTGTGAGAGAGAGAGAGAGACACACACACACAGAGACAGACACTGTACATTTATTAGGGGAGCTGGTCAGACTTTAAGTTTGACCGGTTGGTTTCCATCCCAGGTCCTCAAAGGATATGGACCCCTGTTACTTATTAAAAATAAATTGACTTGGTATCAATTGTACACATTAAATTTTTTAAACTAAAATCATGAAAACATATCACCAAAGGTAAGCTGTTTATATTAAACTAAAAATAAAATGTTATAAGTATCCAATCAAATAAGTTAAGATGAATATTGGATTGGAGTTAAACCATCAAATTAGTACAAAAACCAGTCAATTGCTATACGTTCTGTAAAAGAGACTAAGAAGGTGGTTGTCTGCATGTTTATAGATCCCAATTAAAGATTTTTACCAAAGTCAATCAAACCAATAATTTAAAGTTTGTTAAATAACTTGTTTTTAGTATTAAGCTATCTACTGTCCTAACCAAAACCTTGGAGCCAATTATAAAACTTTCTTCTCAAACTTCAGTTTTTATGTCGTGGCTAACCTTTTTCCTCTCCTTCTCTCTCCTCAACAGAGATTATAATACTAACTTTAGCAGAGCAACCTTGATAAACAGAAGTTTAACGAACTCTTATTTACCAGAAATTATAGATGACAAAATCAAGTCTCTCAATACTTTCAGGTTCAAAACACAGTTTAATAACTGTCTTTATGAGACAATATTTAGGGCTGTTTAAACTATGAGCACTTTTTCTCTCTGGTACCTTCTCCATGTAAACTTTATGGGTGTGTCGCAATTCTTGTGTCTCTGATGGGTGCCTACTTTTGTCTGGGTGCTGCTAAATCCATAGGGTGTCCCTGCCTGCATAAATGGGAGTCTCTCCAATACTAATTTAAGACACACAGTCTGTGTGCATTTGAAGGAGATGGGGATTCCTGGCTCCTCACTCCACAAGTTCTTTCAGTATAGTTCCTGATTCACTACCTGTGAGAAGGGCAGAGGGTTGGAGCACAGAACATTTCACAGCTAACTTAGGGGCTTACCAAATCTATTCTGCCTGGTTGATATAACGGAGTCTTCTACCTCCTTGTAGGCCCAGGAAATCTGTGAATGATCTTCTTGAGGGCAGTTTCCTTGATGCTTTCCAGGAGATCTGCTTGAGGACTGTAGAGCTATTGTCCGCTCTCTCTCAGAGCTGCCCATCAACTGCGTAGGAATTCCTGCTTTTAAACCTTTATTCCACCCATGACATGACTGATGGAGGAAGGTCCAGCCAGGCCCACAGCAGCTCTCTAACCCCTTATCACTGGCATGTGGTTTATACACCCTGTCGCAGGACGCTCTCACACACATGCATGCACGCAGCCACGCTTTCGCTTTCCCATCTTAAAAATAAAGCAAATAAAAAGGCTGGGGTGTCTTCCTGTTAAATTCAAGGCAAAAAATAGGGACAGGAAAACAAGTTACTTAAGGTAACAGGAAGTTTGGGAATTCTTCAGTCCTCACAGTATTCTGTGCTCTTGTAAAGTAGGAGCTGAAACAGCAAACAAGACGCCAGATGATATTCTGCTGGCCCAGCACTACTTGTTAATGGGCCTCCTTCAGGTGCAGGGAGAGACTGGTCAGAGGCTGCAGTGGCCTGACTTTCCCCAAGGTGAACAGCCTAGGAGATTCTGGAAGGTGAATTTTTCCTCGGATGGATGTTGACCCAAAAGGCGAGGCTTCTAAACCTAGTCCTTGATTCTTAAGGTTTATGAATTTTGCTCACTCTGCCTTGCAGCTCCTCCTTCTCTGCCTCACAAGTCCGGAAAAAACAGGTGCAAGGGCCTACCTTGAAGCCATGCAAGTTTGAATTAGGTCATTGCTGGCGAGCATTAACTTGGGAAAGTTTAAAGCAGCAATTTTAAAATATTCTGTGTTTTTCATATCACAGAGATTGTTGGTCTATGACCAAAAAATAAAATAATAATAATAAAAAATCCAGATATATAAGACCACTTTTGAGGAAGTTGGCCCGATCTCATCTGGGTCGAATGCCTTAAGACATGTCACCAGTTTATGGAAAATTCAATATAAAACACCTATAAAAATAACTAAAGGGAAAAACTCTAGCACAACAAAACCAGTCACTGAACATTAATTCATCAGCCAAACAAAAATAAATTCAGACTTACAAAATTTATCATCTCCAGTTTCTTCTCTGCTAATGGAAAACAGGCAAATGTTCTTATTTTTCTCACGAATAAGGCAGTTACAGTAACTTTTCTATTTTTGAACTGGACTATAGATCAGGCAGCTTATTTTTAAAAGTTATTTTAAATCTTATCAAGAAGAAGTCCATTTAAAATATAATGTCTGTATGCCATACAAGCTATTCTCCTCACAGGGAGAAGCTGCAGATCATGTGCATTATGATTTTAAACCCAACAGACACTGAAATTCAGAATTAGTTATGAGAACTTTTAACTCTGTTTCTTGCTTGTAGATATTATCATATGGCCTTTCCTTATCTGATCATATAGTGAGGCAATGTGATATTTTATTTTCCAAATATTTAATTTGCAAGTATGATTTAATTCAGATTTTTGTTTAAATCCCTCCTCATCTTCAAGGGCAGTGTCAGTGAGGGTGATTAATTAATAAAATGTTCTAACCAAAAAGTACACTGAAAATTTTAGGTCTGTCTCAGAGCAACTTAAAAGCAAGTGAATTTGAAAATATGATGATTACTGACCACCACTGTTTTGGGACATATGATATACCTTGTATAGGAGATGCCAGTGTGCCTAATTACTGAAGTTGTTTTTAGGTTTTGCTATGCTTTGATTAGTAAACTTTTATTTGTTTTTAAGTAGTTTAAAAGGATTACATTATTATTTTTTAATTTATTTGTACTATCCTAGCGCTGAGGAGCTCTAGTCATGGACCAGGACCCTGTTGTGTTTGGTGCTGCCCAAAAAGTCTTTTAGTCAATCTTTTTTTCATTTTATTAAAGTATAATAAAATTATATTCTCTTGAAGCATATTGAAACTTCCTCCATGAAAGCATTTTTTAAATTGGATCTTGTGCATTTGAACAAACATCAACTTTTCAACCTAAAAATAAATGCAGAACAGTGGACTTAGAAAAGGAAGAGACCTCTTATACTAACTTCTGTTGACCAATTAAATTACGTTGTTAATACAGTATGTAGCTTGTTCAGGTTCATTTTAGCTATTTTTGACTGTAAAATCTACCTGAAACAGTGGATAGGATAAGGGAGGCTTTGCTGCATTGTGTAATTCAAGACTAGTGAAATTTTCTTTAGATGTTATGCTTTAAACAAAAACCCTTTTTCTAGCCATTTTACTATCAACAGCCTTGCTGCAGAGATTGGCTTTCAAATGAAACTGAAATAAAATAAGTAATATCCATAGAAGGTCAACTAAGTTGTTCTCATTTGTAGAACAATCAATCTTTCCAAATAAATGTTTGTTTAAATATATAGTAATTGCAATCAAATTGCTTTTAAATGAAGGGGAACCCCTCCCCCCCAAAAAAGCTATGAGCAATTCTCAGTAGTCTGATGACATATACCCTTTCCACACTGATTTTTATTGATTAAATTCTTACTAGACAACTTCGTATTTGTAATATTACTGTATTTCTGTAGAAGAAACTGTAGTTTCTTCTAATTTATTCTCTGTACTCCTCTATGTAATATACATGCACCTATCTCTACATTATAAAAATTGTAGACTTTTTCATGAATAAATCCATGATGCATTGTCGTCTTAAATAAGTAGAAACAATATGAATGTATACTGCAATCATCTTGTTACCAGTAACTGTTGTGGGCTTTTTGCCATAATATTTAGAACAGAAAATACATTAAATTATTTTGATTTAATTTTTCAGCCCTGCATCACATCTACATTTTTCTATAAAACACCCTCACACGCTCTCCTGGGAATATTACACTATGTTCCAGTGTAAAGCCCATCTTGTTATGAGATTGATAGAAAACAGGATCAGTATGGAGTTCATGCTACAAGTAGGTGTTTAAATTCTTATATGAGATATAGTCAACTTTTTATCTTTAAGTACAATTATGTTCCGTAAGTTACTTTTTAAAAATCATCTTGGTGTTTCATGTTTGCTTGTGTATCAATAACTTTGAGATAAACTGTGCTCATAGTACAGGTAAACTGGATTATAATGCACAGGTTGGTTATTTCCTTCTCAGACATGGCTAGTAATAAAGGTTCTGAACCCAAATTAGCTCCTCAGTGACATCTTCGCAATTTCATTGCCTCCAGTAGAGTTACTGCTTGAAACTTAGTAAACAAAATTTTTTTGCACTATAAAGAGAACCAGCAGGATTCTGGCCTGTGTTGGGCTCCTAGCATTATCATAACTAAACAATAATTAAAATACGGTTTCTTTGAAAAGTTAAATACTTGTGAGATTTCAGTTTCTCTTTCTATTTTATGATTTCATAAGAAAAAATGTGACACTTAATAAAGGGAGACCCAGAACTCTGAAAGCAGTATCACTCTCTAAAGATGTAATTCTCTTAATTGGTATAATGATAAAATATAGGACAAAGCATGCAACGCTAATGGTTCTTGTTTAAACTTGAATCACAACAGCCTATACTATGTTCCTTCACACAGTATCCAGATGGTAACTTGTCCTTTGTAGTCCATGTAAAAGAAAACTCAACCCTGATATGCACTTTAAATACAGCAGTTTACTGTCCTGAGGAATAAATTGAGTGACTTGTTTTACAATAGATAGCCTTAGAAGTTAATCTTCTTTTATAGCAAAGTATAATAGAGTTTTTAATAGACTTTGAGTCGTAACACAGTAATGTAGTACATGAGTAGGGCCCTACCAAATTCACGGCCATGAAAAATGCAGCGCAGACTGTGAAATCTGATCTCCCGCCCATGAAATCTGGTCTTTTGTGTGCTTTTACCCTATGCTATACAGATTTCAAGGGGAAGACCAGCATTTCTCAAATTGGAGGTCCTGACCCAAAAGGGAGTTGCAGGGGGGGTTGCAAGGTTATTTTAAAGGGGTCACAGTATTGCCACCCTTACTTCTCCGCTGCCTTCAGAGCTGGGCGGCCAGAGAGCGGTGGCAGTTGGCCTGGCACCCAGCTCCGCCAGCAGCAGTGTAGAAGTAAGGGTGGCAATACCATACCATGCCACCCTTACTTCTGTGTGGTTGCCTTCAAAGCTGGGTGGCCGGAGAGTGGCGGCTGCTTACTGAGGGCCCAGCTCTGCAGGCAGCAGCGCAGAAGTAAGGGTAGTAATATCATACCACACCATCTTTACTTATGCACTGCTGCTGGCGGTGGCTCTGTCTTCAGAGCTGGGCTCCCGGCCAGCAGCTGCCGCTTTCCAGCTGCCCAGCTCTGAAAACAGCCACTGCCAGCAGCAGCGCAGAAGTAAGGGTAGCAGTACTGCAACACCCCCTACAATATCTTTGTAACCCCCCTACAACTCCTTTTTGGGTCAGGACCGTAGAATTACAACTCCGTGAAATTTCAGATTTAAATAGCTGAAATCATGAAATTTATGATTTTTAAATTCCTATGACCGTGAAATTGACCAAAATGGACCGAGAATTTGGTAGGGCCCTATACATGAGATATAATCATGAAGAATTTTTTTTATAAAGATGCACATATAACTAGGTAAGTTAGTTATTGGAGAATGCATCCTTAGCTGTAAAAGGGAGGTAAAAAAATCATATGTATTATCATATTTGTGTAAAAGAAAACGATTGCTGTTGATAGTTAACGTCAACTGTAAGCTCTCATAGTATTTATAGTCTTGTGCTTTAGAAATGCTTAGATACTGAAATACATTTCTGCATTCAACTCCATGTAAATTTATTAGAAAACTGCCTGTTAAAATATGCCTGGTGATGAGTGATGAGCATAGATAGGAAAGGGTGAAATAGTGTGTAGCTTCCTTTTGTCCCAGGGCTAAACATTTTATTTGTCATTAAGATAATGCTGGTACTGCAGCTGCCTTTGAATTAGGCCTAACCTCTTCCCAGCACCATTGTTTTTAGCCCATTGTATCTGCACTCTATCTGCAAATCCCAACTTCAGATAGCGACAATCTAATGAGTTTCTGAAATTCCTTTGTTTTGAAAAGGATCTTTTCTTTCTTTATTTTTTTAAGATAAACATTACAGAACGAGCTGATTGGCATTGGCATTGCCTGAAGACAGACAATCAAGATAAAAAATTTATATAATTCAATCTTCAAAATATGTAAAATGAATTTTTCTATCATTTTAGGTTTTCAACAAACTGTTGAGTCTGGCCAGCACTGCCTCGTCTCAGAAGTTCCAGTCTCACATGTGGAGTCAGATGCTGGTTTCCACATCTGGATTTTTGAAATCCATCTCTAATGTCTCTGGCAAAGACATCCAGCCTTTAATAAAACAGTGGGTGTATCCTTTTCATTCTAGTTCTGAATTGTTAAAGTGGAGAAGAAATGTAGCTTTTTGTTGGCACTATTAAAGGAATGTGCAGGAAGATATGAAATGCCTAAATTTTTAACAGAGTTAGAAACAAAGGGATTCATATTAAAAATAGGAACAAACTACCTATTTAGATTCCTTTCTTAGTGACTTACAGTACGCTGGCTTTTTCTGGGTGCTCTTTGCTTTTCAAGACTGGAAGGAGTTGCAGTATTTGTCAGTTTTACCAGTAGTGAAATTACTATAAAGAAGCTCAAGCAGTCTCATGGAATTAAAGGTCAAACTATACTACAGAGATCCAGGGGACACTGCCATTAGAAATATGCTAAAGTCTGACATGGAAAATGCTATAGTCTGGTGCATTTTCAGATGTGATTTCCAGTAAATCACTGTGGCATAAATTACCTGGGGTAGCAGATTGATAGTACATTTTTTAGATCAATGTGAGCCCTAATACTAGCAGAAATTTGAAAATAAATTGTTTTATCTATTTTCATTGGTATTTTAAATGAACATTTTATGGCTGCAGCAAAATCAGAGAGACAAGGTAGTTGAGGTAGTATCTTTATTGGCCCAACTTCTGTTGGTGGAAGGGACAAAGTTGTAAGCTTCACAGAGCGCTTCTTCAGGTTTGGGGATGGTAACCAGAGTGTCTAATCTAAATACAAGTTGGGACAGATTGTTAAGTGTAAGGGGATCACACATGCCATATGGTTGTACTGTTTCAGTAGAGAAAACAAAACTCAATTTTATTCATGTATGTAGGGAATTATTCATTTGTTCTGACTTTTCCCGTAAGTAATATTTTATATAACTCTTAGTGTGTAAAAAGGCCTGAAAGCAAGATTACTATACCACAATACTAGAACAATACATAAAAATCAATGTGCACCAAAGAAATTTTAGAATGTACCACATTTCTGGAGTGAAATATTTCATAATGGATAAACACGCATCAAATTTTTTTTATGGGGCATGGTAAGGAAACATCTAATTTATTAATTCTTCTTTCCATACATAGCTATGCAAAAATACTAGTAATCAGTGGAGAATTCCATGAACGTGATCTTTTTTTATAAAGTGGGTAAAGCTGGTAACAAGCTAATAACAGGGTAACTTTGAAAGAGACACTCCTGAGAGAACATGACTAAAAGAGAACTTAATTGATCCATAACTCTTCAGGATTATTTGATTTGGTAATCCCTGTCCTCTGTGCTTTAGCCACATTATTGTTAGATGAAAATACTGCACTTCAGTGAGAACTCTGTTCCATTTCAGTTGTGACTAAAATAAGGCAATAATTGTCATACAAACTAAAACTATTCACAGAAATGGTTCAACCAGTAGCTGCCTGAAATACAAAACTGGTGGAGATCACTATTCGTATTCAATTTTACTGAAGGTGACAAACCCAAGATCACTACCATAATGACCCAGATTGAAAAGCTTCTAGAAAATGGATGTTTTATGTGAAATCTGGTTAGAAAACAGTAAACTATAATCTCTGGTCATATTTCTCTGAGTTTCACTTAGCCAAAACATACAAAAAACCAAACATACTTACTGGTGGTGCTCAAATTAAGAGTCTGGCCTCCCTGAAGAAAGACCCAGTACTGCTAGAACAGCGGTCCCCAAACTTTTGAGGGTCACACCCCCTTTTGCCCCTCTCTGTGCCCCCCCATTCTCCCGGGGTTGGGAGTGGGGCTACGGCTCGGGGGGGAGGGGTACGCGGTCAGGGGGCTGAGGCTGGGGCCTCAGCTGGACGTGGTTCTGGGGCCGGGAGCAGGGCCGCGGCCAGGTGCAGCTCCACTCCCAGCCTCGGCCCCGGGTGGCCAGGTGCAGCTCCGCTCCCAGCCTTGCCCCCGGGCCAGGAACGGAGCCGTGGCCAGTGGCTAAGGCAAGGGGCTGGCATGGGCCCAGGAGCGGAGCCGCGGCAAGGCTGGGGCCAGGGCCAGGCGAGGGGATGGGAGCCAGGGATGCGGCTGGGGGCAGGACCAGAGCAGAGCTGGGGGTGGGGCGGGGCTGGGTGGTGCTCCCTCCCCACCCCCTGTGAGGGCTGGTCTGGGCCCCACTGTGCCCTCCGTGCATTCCTCCATGCCCCCCGGGGGTGGGGGGTGCCCCACAGTTTGGGGACCTCTGTGCTAGAGGAAGTGCGCAAGGACACCTGTGGAACACGGTGTGAAATAATACAGCTTTTCATTATGACTTGTTTTTATTTTCAGTGGAAAAAAATTACTGCACTTCACAGTACTAGGTATTCTGTCTACAGTTCTTTTTGTTGAGCTTTCTATAATTTTGTTTTCTCTACCAGCATATAAAAATCTTCAATAAGACTATTTTAAAAAATATTCCTGAGGTGCTCCCTTTGCACACGGCTTTTGTCTCCCATTGATGGGACTAAAGGGAGCCCAAAATATTTTTCCCTCTCCACTTTTCTTTGAACCTTTTTGTGCTGTGACAGTCAAATACAAATCTAGTGCAAAATGTGAGAATGTATACCTTATAAATGTTATTTTTATTTATAAACACCATCTTTTGTCCCTCAAAATTCCTATACAATTTATTAGGGATCAGAGTGGTGTGGTAAAATTTTATGGCAGTTTTGCGTTTAATAGAAAACGAAATGTATTGGAATTGGAAATAAAGCAAGACTACACTTCTCCTGGGACCCAGAAATATGTGGTAAGGTCCATTTTCCATAGTTTGTTTACAACACTGTTGATGTGCATTTATCTCTGTACACACATTTATAAACATTAGGTTTATATTTATATTAGACAAATTTGTTTTTATTACACTAATAATGAAAGTATCTTAATTTTCTTCAGGGTCCTCTTAAAGTAACAGTGCAAGAACTTGATGGATCTTTCAACCATACATTGCAGATAGAAGAAAACAGTCTTAAACATGATATACCTTGCCATTCCAAAAGCAGAAGGTAAGAATTAGAACTTCAGAATGCAGATGTTTATAGAATGTATGTATAATAATGTCCAGTGCAATTAATGGGAAGTGTGAAATCTAAATCTTTTATTACTTCTTTTTGTAAATGTTGATAATCTTACTGTATAATTTACCAATTTTGTGATAATAGAGTCATAGGCCAGAAGGGACCACCAGATCATCTAGTCTATCTGTATATTACAGGCCACCTACAGCAACCAGCACCAATTAACTCAATAACTGAAATTAGAGCAAAATATTACAGCCCACAGGAGACTATACTGTTAAGTACCACAGGCAGAGAGCAGGAAGGACCAAGGTGCACTAATGTCTAAGGCCTTCATAGTGGCAGGGAAATGATTATGTGAGATATACCAAGATAATCCTGGCAAGTGATCTGCGGAAAGTGAAAAATCCCAAAGGTCACTGCCAGTCTATCCTGAGGGAAAGTTCTTTCCCAACCCGACATATGGTGATCAGTTAAACCCTGAGCATGTGAGCAAGAACCAGCCAGTCAAGCACTTGAGAGAGAGCCTGCTCAGTGCCACCTCAGAGCCCTGGCCTACTCCGTCCAATGTCCCATCTCCAGCCATGGCCATCATTGATGCTTCAAAAGAAGAAGATTAAAAAAGAACAACCCAGAAAATATTCCGGTGAGGGGACATCCCTTTCTGACCCTGTAGGTGGCCAGCTGAAACCATGAAGCATGACGTTTTAGGAAAATAAGACGAAAACCAGACGTGAGCCCTATGGCTGCCAAGTCCTGCCCCCTACCAGCACAAACAACCCCATCATACAATCACATTCATAAATTTGTTCAGCTCCCTCTTAAAACTAATTAAGTTGTTTACCCCTACAATTCCTATTAGGAGGCTGTTCCAGAACCTCACCTCTGATGGTTAGAAACCTAATTTCAAGTCTGAATTTGTTCATGGCCAGTTTATACCCATTTGTTCTTGTGCCAACGTTGTCCTTTAGCTTAAATAGCTCTTTGGTAAATATCCTCCCTGGCATTTACTCCCCCTATATAGAGAGCAATCATATCTTTTATCAGCCTTCTTTTTGTTAGACTAAACAAGCCAAGCTGTTCCAATCTCCTCTCACAAGATAGGCATTTCATTCCCCTGATCAGCTTAGTAGCTCTTCTCTGCACCTGTTCCAGTTTAAATTCATTACTCTTGAACATGTGTGACTAGAGTTGTACACAGTATGCCAAGAGGTCTCAGTGCTGTGTACAATGGCATTAATACTTCTCTATCTCTACAGGAAATGCCTTGCCTGATGTAGCTTAGAATCATATTTGCCTTTTTCACAGCCGCGTCACTTTGGTGGCTCATAGTCATCCTGCGATGAACCCACATGTCCAGATCTCTTTTCTCCTCTGTTGCTTCCAACTTATGAGCCCCAGCTTGTAGAAGAAATTCTTATTATTAGACCCTTGGTGCATGACCTTGAACTTTGTGCTATTGAATTTCATCTCATTTCTGTCACTCCAGTATTCAAGGTTATCTGGCTCTTCTTGTGTAATATTCTGATCCTCTTTTTTATTGAGATTGCCTCCTAACTTTGTATCATCAGCAAAATTTTATTAGCATGCTCCTACTTTTTGTGCCAAGGTCATTAATAAAAATATTTAATAAGATTGGTCCCAAGACCTATGTTTGAGTAACTCCACTAGTAACCTCCCTCAAATCCAATAATTTACCTTTCAGTACAACCATTTGCCTTTTTCCCTTTAGTCAGTTCCTTATTTACCTGATAGTTCTAGTACCTGATCCTCATCGTCTCTAATTTTACTAATAATTTCCCATGTGGCACCGTGTCAAATGCTTTACTGAAGTCCAAGTATGTTAGATTTACTGGACTTCCCTTATCTAAAAAATCAGTTATTTTCTGAAAGTAGGTTAGCCTGTCATGGTAAACCCATGTTGCATTGCATCCCTTTACCTCCATGAATTTAATTATTCTTTCCTTCACAATTTGTTCTAATTGTAAAGGAAAGAATAATTGCATAGTAGTGAGGTCAGACTAACAGGTCTGTAATTGCCTGCATCACCTTTTTCCCCTTTTTTAAATATAGGTACAACATTCTCTTTCTCCAGGCATAGGTAGATGTATTAAAATCCTTGCTACTGGACTAGCAATCTCATGTGCCAGTTCTTTAAGTATTCTGGTATGGAAATTACTCAATCCCCCCGATTTGAGTGCATTAAGTTCTTTGAATTCTTCTTCCACCTCAGCTGTGGTAATTTTCATTTCTAGATGCTCATTTCTATCAGCCATACTGGCTTCATGCACATGTTCCATATTATCATGCTTATTGAAAATGAAGGCAATAATAATATGTTATAATATAATTAGCAGACATATCTACAAATGTATGAGAGAAAATTCAGAGGAAAAAGCAGAATCAGTTATTAGCACTACATTCACAGGTAATCAGATACTAAAACTTAACAACAAATTTCCAGTTGTTCATAAAGTTCCTAGGCCTTGTGAAAATCTAAACAGAAACTTGTTTGTGTAATATGGAATAGTTTTTAGTAAATTTTAATTCCTTTATGAATTGCTCAAGGAGAAATGCCTTTGAATGGGACATCTTGCCAAGAAAGAAGACCAGAAACAACAAGAAATAACTCAAATCAGGCAACTGGATTAAAAATCATATTTTCCCCTTCCCTAAAAATACCAAGACTGTATTGATTAAACTTATGAGTAAAACAAACCAAATACCTCCCTATTCAGATTGTCTCAGTCTCCTAAAAAAAATTTTAAAAATCACTTCAGCCTCAACTTTCCAAAGATGTATGTGTGTACTTAATTTTAAGCATGTAAGTACTGTAGTCTTATTTAAGACAGTGGGTCTCCTCATGTGCTTCAAGTTATGTGAGTAAGGGTTTGCAGGATCTTAAATGAGTCAGAGTGGGAGCGAAGGGGAATTAAGTACCTAAAAACAGACCTTTCCCAAAAATCATTTATTTTGGAGTTTTACAAAAACTACCAACATGAATATGAACACCATGATGTTACCCCCACCTTCAGCAAAATATAAAAAATCAAAATACACACCGAGAATTTTTAATAAACAAAGAGGACTTCAGCAAGACTGAAATATAAACCCATAACACAGTGGTTCTCAAACTGTGAGTCGGGACCCCAAAGTGGGTCGCAGCCCCATTTTAATGGGATTGCCAGGGCCAGCATTAGACTTGCTAGGACCCAGGGCTGAAGCCTGAGCTCCACCCCGCACCCAGGGCAGTGGATCTGGGGCTCTGATCTCATCTTCCCCCACCCGACATGGTGGTGCTTGGGCTGCGCCCCCTTCTTCTCCCACTGGGGCAGCAGGGCTTGGACTCTGCTCCTCCCTATCCCCTGGGATCATGGATTAATTGTGTTGTCAGAAGGGAGTTGTGGTGCAATGAAGTTTGAGAACCCCTGCTATAACATAATTGTGTTTTTAATCGGTACGTGTACTTTATCTCAGTATTCATAGTGATCACATATTACACTTAATCCTGATTTAAACATGTTATATGTTGTTATATATAGAGAGAGAGAGAAAGAGTCAGTATAGTTATCTGAAGGTTGTATTCTTCATTTTAAAGGTATAGCTTAAATTGTATTACTTTTTTAAAACACAGAAATAAGAAAAAAAAGATTCCATTAATGAATGGAGAAGAGGTGGACATGGATCTTTCTGCAATGGAGTAAGTTGGTTTGTTGAAGACAAATGGACATCGTCTCCTCCATGCTTATATATAATTCCCTTATTAGTATTAATGTTTGCCCTAAGCATGTTTTAAGGTTTTGGGTGATGATATTTATCTTTCAGTTCATAATTGCTGTTTATGCCTGTAATCCGTCATTTTTATATTTGCCATTGTTTTTCAATATCTGAGGTTTTATTTTCCTAGTTGGGGATAGTTTAGGAAATTCTGATTATTGTACTATAAATGCGTAGAGCAGTGTTTCTCAAACTGGGGTCGCCGCTTGTGTAGGGAAAGCCCCAGCGGGCCTGGCCGGTTTGTTTACCTGCCCCGTCCGTAGGTCCGGCCGATCGCAGCTCCCGCTGGCCGCGATTCGCTGCTCCGGGCCAATGGGGGCTGCTGGAAGCGGCGCGGGCCGAGGGACATACTGGCTGCTGCTTCCAGCTGCTCCCATTGGCCTGCAGCGGTGAACCACGGCCAGTGGGAGCTGCGATCAGCCGGACCTGCAGACGGGGCAGGTAAACAAACTGGCCCGGCCCGCCAGGGGCTATCCCTACACAAGCGGCGACCCCAGTTTGAGAAACACTGGCGTAGAGTAATATGAGCCGTTTTTGGAGAAAGCTCAAACTGGGCATGATAATGTGTTGGAATAAATGAAGATCATTTCTAATCATATCTCTAAGGTTAGTTTAAAAATAAAATTTAAACAAGTAATTAATAAAGAATTATTAATTCAGAATTTGTTGCCCTTGCATTAAACTTAGGGAAATATTTGATGGAGCTCAGTGAATGCTATGTAAGTACCTAGATGGATGGATCCATCTTAGATGATTCCTGAAATCCTGAAATTAGGGTGATCAGACAGCAAATGTGAAAAATCGGGATGGGGTGGGGGGTAATAAGAGCCTATATAAGAAAAAGACCCAAAAATCGAGGCTATCCCTATAAAATCGGGACATCTGGTCACCCTATCTGGGATTCATGTATACTTAATCCATCTTGATTGCAAATTAATTGTGTACAAATGTTTTGTACTGAGACCTATATGCTAAAAGTATATTTATAAATTCTTGTATTCACTTGGAACTATCTTGCTCCATGGAAGCAGGGTCAATTCTTGCTGTGAACAAATGCCCACTCTGTTCTCTCTGTGAGTTTGAACTGGTGTTGCTCTCTGAACTGCTGAAGGTGTTGGCAGCTTTCGTGTACTCCTGTGCTGATGAAGGCCAGTGGTCCATTATTGGTAGGCATTGTCATCACCTCCATGAAGGAGGGCAGCTTGCCTGTTTCTCTTCAAGAGAATTAGGGATAAAATAATCTGATAAATTAAGCCTCATTTATGAACATGTGATCTAGTAATGTAAATTTATAGAGGACATTTTCATTGGTGAATTTTTTAATGAATAATTTCTACATATTAAATACACAGAAATAATTTGACAAATAGTACAAGTATCATGTACAAAAGAAGAAATGACCACAATTAACTGTAAGTGGTTCTGGTCATTTATAGTCAGGTGGCTAGGGCACTGCACAGGGACTTGGGAGCCCTGAGTTCTATTTCCTGTATAGTAGTACTTGTAACTTGGATCTCCTAATAGCTATTAGGTATATGTGAAATGAGCTGGTGAGCCCTGTCAGTTTCCACCATGATAGCTCACCACATGTTAAAAACCATCGGCTCAATTGTCTCTAATTGGTCATCTTGTGGGTAGTCTAAGCATTGTTCAACCATGCCAGATACAGTCTCTGAGGAAAGAGAATTAAACACATCAAGACTATTACTTATTTTGCTGTTGCCTGTCATATGGCTACCAGTTTAGCATGTTTAACAGTGGTTTAGCTTTTTTTTTTTTTTTTTTTGTTAATTTACAATTAGCTGAGACATCTTTTTTATTTACTATTGTAGGCTTATAATGTTTTAAGCTGTGAATGTTTTGTGTATCTTTTTTTAGTGCTGATTCTCCTTTACTCTGGATTAGAATAGATCCAGATATGTCTGTATTGAGGAAGGTAGAATTTGAACAAGCTGACTTCATGTGGCAATATCAGCTTCGGTATGAGAGAGATGTAGTTGCACAGGAAGAATCCATTTTGGCATTGGAAAAGTTCCCCACTCCAGCATCGCGACTTGCCCTGACTGATATACTAGAACAAGAGCAATGTTTCTACCGAGTGAGAATGCTGGCCTGCTTCTGTCTTGCAAAGGTGAGATCACATAGCACAGAAATAATGAGAGAAATCTGCTAGACATGGTAAACATTTGAAAATGAGTCAAAAATCATCACCGTTCTTAAATTGGCTTGATATCTGGCCTGTTTAAAGTGGTTTGCCAAGTATTTTTAACATGACTGATTTGAAAGGAAAGCTTTATTATTTTAGTCTGTAAATGGAGACTGCAGAAAGCTTTCATAATAATTGTCAAAATTGAGATGTCAGACATTTAAACCACAAGGGATTTTTCCAGTTTTCATTAAGTTGAAGAAATAAAAGAACTTTTGTTTAAAAAATTTTCAGAGAGCCAAAATGTATTTTATTTTGGTGGGAAAGTCCTTGGCCCTTCTTCTGAGAAATCTGGTGAAGTGGTGAATTTCACCTTTATAGCATGAGAGAGACTACTATGTGCATTCAGATTGTTGCAGTATATCTCTTTAGGTTGAGTGGTGCAAAAATAAATGTAATGTTAGTCTGCATTTGAAAATTAAGAATCAAATTGTTGACTTAAAAAGGTGGGGGGGAGAACAGTTTGGTTACAAAATTAGTAAGTCCTAAAGGAGTTCAAATGAAAAGCAAATTGGATATCACCGGAAACTTACAGGTGGAAATGTCAAAAGAGTGAAAATTAAAAAAAAAAAATCTTAAGGAAGCATAATCAAGGAGTAGCTGAATGTTTTCTGGTGTGCAATAGATTAATCTCTCTGAACTTCCTTTCTGTCATTACGAGGATGTATACAATATATATCTGTTTGAAAATATATTTAGAGTAACTTTATTTTCAAAGTCAAAACACTTGTGGCAACATATTTTAGCATTACAAAATACTAACACAAAAGATAAAAGTACACTTTCTCCATTATGTGCTGGCATTGATACTGCCTGTTTGACTCAACAATGACGTGCATATTTATTGGAGTGCTCTGTATGAATTCATTATGAAAAACTCAGTAAGTGTCTTGCTTAAAGTGAATATTAAAAAAGAACAGCTTTGATAGCATCTCCACTCATTTCATTTTTCTAAAAACTGCTTATTATACTGAACACTTTTATCACTGTACTGTTTGCTCCTGGTAAATTCTGCTGAGTGTAGCAATATGAACAAGGTGATGTCCTTGCAAGTGGTAGGTGTTTCATAGAAAAGACAGATCCCAGCCCCCAAAGAGATTATAATCTAAATGGTTTGACAGACAAGTGAGGCTATAAACCAGACTGGAGCATGGAAGAATATGATTATGGATATTTGGTTATACAGTTACTGCACACATATTGATTTGTTTGTGTATATACACTCACGCGTATATACATATAAATATGCATATCCTCATATTTTTAGGGGATGTGGCAGAAGTGGTTTTTTCATGAGTTATTTGAGTTAGGCCAGGGTGAAGGCTTGACATGTAGATTTTGAAAGGATATTCCAAGTATAAAGAGACAAAATGGAAGAAGGTACAGATGTGTGAGATGAAAAGCACTTTCAGGTTGGCATCCTTGGTAGTGGAAAAGGCAAAAGGAGACCACGTCAGAGATGTGTAAGGACTTAAAAACTGGGGAAAGAAATTTGAACTTCCTGTGCAGCATAATGAGAAGTCAGTCAAATGGAATATCAAGAGAGGGAAGACATGGCTGAAGCAATGGTTGAGAAAAATTTTGGCTTGAACATTTTTCATTGAGTGATTGGTGATGGTGAAGATAATCAATGTTGCAGTAGTGACCAGGGTATTCCATTGTGCTAGGTGCTATACAAAGACAAAGGGAGCCATGATCCCTGTTAGTCCCAAGAAGATTATTGTCTAGTAAAGGGCCAAATTTTGCCAGCCTTAAATTAAGGGAGAGGAGGTGATTTCTGTAGTTAAGGAAGAATATGCTTAGGGATTGACAGCAAGAAGAGAGAGGTCAATTCTTGTTAAAAGTTGTGAGGAAAATGAAACAGGATTTGGTTGCAGTCTGGAAGTGTGAGGAATTCAAAATGAACCCCAGGTTCTGAGCAAGTCCATAAAGGGTTTTTAAAACCCCACAGTGGCAATTTTAGAATGAATAGTTTCTGGTGAAACAGTTTGATGCAGCTCAATGTGGACTGGATTTTTTTCCTTTCATAGGGAAATACTGTGGGGAGAAAGTATAATTTGATGGATTTTAGTGCCAATTTTACCTTAAGGCGGATAGTAGGAAAACTGTGTTCTCACTATCAGAGAGACAAAGTGGGTGAGGTAATATATTTTATTGGACCAATTTCTGTTGGTGAAAGAAACAAGCTTTTGAGCTTACACAGAGCTTTTCAGCTCTGGGAATGGTGCTCAGAGCTCTGTGTAAGCTCAAAAGCTTGTCTCTTTCACCAACAGAACTTGGTCCAATAAAAGATATTACCTCACCCACCTTCTCTCGCTAATATCCTGGTACCAGCACAGCTACAACAACACTTCTCACTGTCAACTCACTTTAATTTTAACAAAGACTAAGGTGTTCAGTTTTTATTAACTTTATTGAGCAAAATCAAAATTTCCCCTGGTTATTTGAAATATGGTTGGCTCCTAACTAGCAATGTGATTATTGTTGTGAAATGTTGGGTTGCAGAACTATGGATTTTCATTTTGATGCACAGAAGTAGTATGTGATATTCTAGGATAAAACATTAAGTAGTAACTAAGTTGAATTAAACATCTGCTTAAGATATTGCATTCAAAACTATTAGTAGCAGAAGCAGTCAGATGACACGTTGAGCTGTAATGGTCTGAGATTTTAACAGTGGTATGAATTAATCTTTTGGACTTTGTAGCCATGCTGGTTATTAAAATACAATCTTAGTTGATGATAAAATGTACCACAGCTGGCCTAGAAGCTGATACTATCATCAACCAGGTAATGATTTTTCAGCGAACCTACATCAAAAGTGAAGAAAATGCAATAACAACTGTACAGCTTCCTGAGTAGGTGATTCCTGGAGATATGACCATGCAGAGAAAAGAGAAAGCAGAGTTCTTGAGTAAAATTAATTCTTTTTTGAGTGGGACACTTAAGCTTTGGGTCCATTCCCTTCTGCTAAATGGACAGTGATGCTGTTGTGCTGTAGCATCACAATTTAGCATTAAAGATCCTCCATTGCTATCTGATCATATTTCAGGAGGAATGAACAGCCAACTTTTTTATTATGACATACTGTATTAGGGTACGTTAGAACTCTTAAAAATATATTGTTGGATGAATATGATGTGAACAGTGTAAGGTAGATGGGAACATTGAAGCTGTCCTAGAGCTTTTATATACACCTCTACCTCGATATAACGCTGTCCTCGGGAGCCAAAAAATCTTACCGCGTTATAGGTGAAACCGTGTTATATCGAACTTGATTTGATGCGCCAGAGCACGCAGTCCCGCCCCCCCGGAGCGCTGCTTTTCCTGTGTTATATCCGAATTCGTGTTACATCGGGTGGCGTTATACTAGGGTAGAGGTGTATTCCCTAAAAGTAGAAATAACTCGAGACAAGCTTCTTACCTTGTGGTTTGTAAAACTGGGTCATTCATTTAATTCATGCATGCATGGAAGATCTCCGCTAAAGGCCACATACAAACTATAGCATGTAAATAGAATAGAGAAACAGAAAAAGTGGCTAAGTTAGTGATTGAGAAGGTAAGAAATTAATGTGACTAAGTTAAAAAATATAAAAAGATACTGAAGATACTGCTGTTGGCTCAATTTAATATAGATGATCTTGGCCCTATATATCAGGGGTGGCCAAACTTACTGACCCTCCGAGCTGCATACAACAATATTCAGAAGTTCGAGAGCCAGAGTCACCTGCCGGGGCTTGGGACTTCAGCCCCGCTCCTGCTGAAGTCATGAGCCCAGGCAGGCGCGTCCCATGGGGCTGAAGCCCCAAGAACCCCTCCCCACTGGGCAGAAGCTAGAGGAGATGTGTGGAGAGGGGGCATGTATCCCTCCAGATTTTTGCTAGGGTTTGCTGGTCCCGGTCAGTCACAGGCCCTCTCCCTGCATGGCAGCTGCTGGAGCCGGCAAGCTGGGAGCTTCGGACATGGGGAGAGACAGCGGCAAACAGCTGGGAGCTGCAGGGAGAGCTGCTGCTTTTGCTGCTGCCTCTCCTTGCGGAGCTAAAGCAGCGTCCCCTCCCTGAAGCTCCCAGCTGTTTGCCGCTGCCTCTCCACAGGAAGCTAACACCTGAGAGCTGCAGGAAGTGGCCACTGAGGGTAAGAGGGTGGACATGCGGGGGAGGGGGGGAACGACTCAAGCTATTGTGGGAGGGGTGAACCTTTAAATTGTGTCCCCCAACTCTCAGCAGGCACCAGTCATCTCTGGCAGAAGCCCCTATTCCCACCACCCTACTGCAGGGTAGAAGCCCTAAGTTCCCCCCTCCCCCCAGCCTGGTAGGGGAAGAAGTGGGGGGTTTCACCAGCCTCACTTTAACTGTAAAAGAGCTGCATGTGGCTCGCGAGCTGCAGTTTGGCCACCCCTGCTATATATTTTGCAGCAAATTGCTTAAAATAAATGGAAACTTAATACAATCACTTTTTTAAAAATTATGGTATGCAGTCTTTATTTAAATAACAGTTTATACTGTGTTGATGTTTTAATCTTTGGTAATACAGCTTCCGAATGTGTTTGTCTTACACTGCTACAGAAATTTCAGAATTGAGGATATAGCTCCCATTTTCATAATAACCTTTGTCTCAGAGAAACAGAAGGATTTGGCAGCCGTGGGCATGAAGATGGGAGGTTTCTCACTGGGAGAGGATTTGGATCAATTTTGGCTTCTTGGGTTAGAAGCACTGGAACTTCTGTCATTGGGAAGGGAGCTGCCAACCTCTAGAGAGGCATTTTCTCTCTTTGGCTCCTTCTCTCTTTGCCTTTCCCCAAGAAACTGAGCAGTTCCCTGTTTGCTCAATGCTTCTTGCTCTGTTTGACTGAAAATTGTTTCCTGGAAGAAACTGTCGCCCTTCTAAACAAATTAGAGGGAAAACATTAATATGGCTGTGTCAGGACTTGGTCAGAACACCATCATCACGCATTCCATTCAGTCTTGCAGTATATAAGGAATATTTTTTCCTTACTCTTCTGTGGAGTGTCCTTTAACAAAGGCAAACTGCTCCTCTGTTGCTGCCGAATCATAGAATACGTGGAGTTCTGCTGGTAACATTAAAAATTCTATCAATAAATATCATATACATATTAATTTCTGCAGACATTTACTATTCTGTACACTAAAGATCTCAGAACAGGATGAAACAGATCTCAAAAAGATTTGCCTGACAGCAGTCTGCTCATAGTCCATGACTACAGCTAGACAGGAGCCTGAATTGCCTTTTACTCTTGGGGTGGTCTTTTACTCTTGGGGTGGTTGACGCGTGGTTGAAATCTAGGTTGAGGTTATTGGCAGGGTAAATTTGGGAAGTTGTTATTGCAAATGCCTCTTCCGTAATTGGCTTCTGTAGAGACAGAAAACTTGGCTTAATGAACAGAAAATATTTGTCTAAAATATAAAAGGAGGAAATAATTAAAAACAGAAATTGATCGTGCAATGGTAATTAGTTGCAGACTTCCTATAAGTAAAATGAGTTCCACACGCTTTAGTTCCAGTGCATAGAAAGTATGTTGGAGATGAGATTATGTTGATAAAAATATGTTTCTGTTGAAAAGAGTAGTTCATTCTGTCCAATTATTGTATTTTTTTTAATTCTTGGAAACAAATATGTGTGCTTTTGTTCAGCCTATGATACACTTGCATAGGTGATGATAATGTGCCTTCCCTTCCCCCTAATTATATAGATTGCAAATTCCATGGTAAGTACATGGACCGGACCACCAGCCATGAAGTCACTCTTTACCCGAATGTTTTGTTGTAAAAGTTGTCCAAACATTGTGAAGACCAACAACTTCATGAACTTTCAAAGCTACTTTCTGCAAAAGGTAAAATATGTTTTCTCATTGTACTTTTTAAAGATATGTCAGAGGAAGCAGTTTTTTTCTGCAAATGACAAATTCCACAATATAAATAGTAAGAACACTGTCTGAGCCACAAGCCAAAATCACTGGTTCTCTCCACAATCTGTCTGATGATTGTATCTAACTTTGTTATGCTGTGTCTGTTTGTTCCATTCTTGTCAGTAGACAGTAAATTGAAAGTTATAACAGTTCTTTCTGAATAGCTAATAGCGAGCAGGAATCATTTAAATTTAAAATATATTTCACTGTTAGAACCAAGTATACAGGCATAATAGAGGAATATGCTTTGCGAATATGTGCAAACGTAATCTTACCCAGAACTTATGTTAGTTAACATTGTTAAACAATTTTTGTTCCTCTTACCTAAAGTTAAATATTCATATTATTTGTCAGCTGTTTTTTGAATTCATTAATGTACAAGAATCTCTTATGACACAAATATTATTCAAATGTCATTATTATTGAATCTGAAATCATAAAGTTGTGCACTAGTTAGCCTGTAGAATGCAATAATCTTATCACTGTTGCCCTTTGTTTTCCTGCTCCATCCTATGGTTTGTCAAACCCACTTGTTGCATCTAAATTTAGATTCTAAACTTCTCAAGTCAAGGACTGTCTTTTATACTGTATGTGTACAGTGCCCAGCATAAAGGTGCCCCAATCTTTTGAGGCCCCTCCGTGCTATTGTGATAAAAAATAATAACAATTGAAATGATTGACAATGATTTTCTGTCAAGCTCTGTTTTTAAAAATTTTTGGGTTATTGAGTTCTGTCCTAACTTTAGTTTTAATCCCTCTTCTTCCACATCCTTCTCTCACTCCTCCCTTCCAAAAATACTCACCGTTTTTCACCATCTCTCTCTCTCTCGTCCCAGCCTTCTTTCATATTCTTGCAAATGCTTTTGATCTTTGTTTATTCTCTCCTGCTACCTTCAGTGTTGTTTCTCTTCCCACAGCATGTTAACCCTCAGCTTCCTAAATTTTAGATTCTGCTTCTCATGATGTTTCATTTGCCATGTTTAGCCTTATTTGCCTGGCATCAACTTCCTCTCCTGCATACTCAGAGCCATTTCAAGTCTGTCTCCGTCAGAGCTAACTGTTTTTAGAAAATAACTTCACTATATTTTCAACTAAAAATTGTGCAACCCTTTGTATATAAGGTATGAAGTCTGACTTTCCAAAGGCACCTAAAAATTGACTTTTCAAAGAGTAAAACTGTTCATTGCTCATTGTTTGATTTAATATTTAATGTTTTTGTTTTTCCTGCTAATATAATAAGAATTTTATTTTAATCTTCACACAGACTATGCCTGTTGCCATGGCCTTGCTGAGGGATGTTCATAACCTCTGTCCTAAAGAGGTTTTAACATTTATTTTAGACCTAATCAAGTATAATGACAACAGGAAAAATAAGGTAAGGAACCTTCCTACAAATGTTTGATGATCTATTTTAATGACTCTCTCTTGTTATAGGCAGTATATAGAGCAATAGACTTTTCAGTACAATGCCCTGTGCTACTAACTTATATGTATTTGAACATATAATGTGTAAATATACACACGGATTCAGCAAAAACTGGTAGTAGATAACTTGGCCTCCAGCATTTCTTCCCTGGATCTGGGAGATTGGTACGCCGCCCTCGACCTGAAAGACACTTACTTTCACATATCGATATTTCATGGACACAGACGGTTCCTACGTTTCGTAGTTGGGACAGTCCACTTCCAATTTGCAGTGTTCCCTTTTGACCTAGCAACGGCACCAAGGGTGTTTTCGAAATGCATGTCGGTGGTGGCGGCATACCTCAGATGTTGGGGCATCCAGATTTACTCGTACCTTAACGACTAGCTCATCAAGAGCCACTCCAGGTCTAGGTCCAGTGCAGCATCAAGATGTTGCGAGCCACTTGTCAAGCTCTGGGCGAGACTCAGGCTGCGTCCCCTCCAGATGTGTCTGGAGTTGATCTACTCCCCGGGCAGACATCACCTAGACAAGGTCATCACAATCCCTCCACAGGTACTTACCTCTCTGCAGTGGTGGTTCGACCTGATTCTGGTGTTGGAAGGTGTGCTGTTCACAAGCCCGACCAATGGTCTCCCTGATTTCGGATGCATCCGACCTCGATTGGGCAGCGCATCTTGGTACACTGCTCACTCAAGGGTTATGGTCTCGAAAGGAGCTCGCATTGCATATAAACATCAGGAAGCTCAGAGCCATCTGCCTGGCTTGCAGTGTCTTCCTTCCCCAACTGTCTGGCCAGGCAGTGCAGATGTTGACGGACAACACGGCCTCCGTGTTCTATGTCAACAGGCAGGGGGGAGCTTGATTGTCGGCTCTGTGCCAGGAGGCCTTCTGTCTATGGGACTTTTGAATCCAGCATGCAATCCACCTGGAAGCTTCGCACCTCCCCAGCGTATGCAACACGCTGGCGGATTGCCTCACCAGGTCCTTCTTCTCTCACCACGAGTGGTCCCTTCACTCGGAGGTCATCAGAATGCTCTTCCAGAAGTGGGGAGCTCCCCGAGTGGACTTCTTCTCTCCAAGGCCTCGGCAGAGGCTCATTATCCGATGCCTTTCTCCTGTCTTGGTCAGGAGACATGATGTACGCCTTTCCTCCAATTCTGCTCATCAGCAAAGTCCTCTAAAAAATCAAGAGGGATCATTGATGGGTCATTTTGCTCGCCCCAGCATGGCATTGCCAGCATTGGTTCCTGGCAGTTGCAGCCCCGTGGCCACTTCCCAGCTGCCCGGATGTACTCTCACAGGATCACTGTCGACTCCTGCACTCAAACCTCGCCACTCTCCACCTCGCAGCTTGGAAACAGCTTGTCTGAATCCAGAGGTACAAGCCTGCTCTAGTCAGGTACAGCATGTTCTCTTGGAGAGCAGAAAGCCCTCCACCAGAGCAACTTACCTGGCAAAGTGGAAGCGTTTCTCCTGCTGGGCGTTAGAGCAGAATATCTCTCCAACCCAGTTGTCTCTGCAGTCCATCCTGGATTACCTGCTTCACTTAAAGGTCTCACTTTTTGTTCGATCAAGGTGCATCTGCCAGCCATATCGGCCTTGCATCCAGGGTAGATCGGTGTTCTCGCATGAGATGTCAATCAGGTTCCCGAAAGGCCTTGAAAGACTCTTTCCGCCAATCCGGGACCTGGTTCCCCAATGGGACCTCAACCTGGTCCTCTTCAGGCTCATGGGTCCGCCCTTTGAGCGTATGGCTTCTTAGTCCCTTTCCCACTTGTCATGGAAGGTTGCATTCCTTGTAGCTATTGCCTCAGCGAGATGTGTTTCCGAAATTAAAGCCCTCACTTCGGAGCCCCCGTACACGATATTCTACAAGGACAAAGTTCAGCTGCGGCCCCATCCAGCCTTCCTGTCAAAGGTGGTATCACACTTCCATGTCAATCAGGATATTTTCCTCCCGTTGTTCTGGTCCAAAGCCTCAAATGACCAATGAGGAGAGGCGGCTGCATGCTCTAGATGTAAGGCATGCCCTGGCGTTCTACCTGAAGCGAACCAAGCCCTTCCTCAGATCAACCCATCTCTTTATCACGATAGCTGACAGGATGAAGGACCTTCTGGTGTCCTCTCAGAGGATTTCCAATTGGATCACCACCTGCATCTGTACTTGTTATGAGTTGGTGCAGGCTGTACCTCCACCAGTAGTGAAGGCTCACTCGACTAGGGCTCAGGTGTCTTCGGCTGTCTTCCTGGCGCATGTCCCTATCCAGGACATCTGCAGGGCCACAACATGGTCTTCGGTACACATGTTTATGATGCATTACGCTATCACCCAGCAAGCCAGAGATGATGCTGGATTTGGCAGAGCTGTGCTGCAATCGACACATCCATGAACTCTTACCCGCCTCCAATGGTACTGCTTGGGAGTCACCTACAGTGGAATGGACATGAGCATGCACTCAAAGTAGAAAAGACAGTTATCTTTCGTAACTGTTGTTCTTCTAAATGTGTTGCTCATGTCCATTCCATGACCCAGCCTCCTTCCCCTCTGACGGAGTTCCGTCACAAAGTAACTGAGGCGGGGGGAGCCGGTGGCACCCCTTATACTGGCGTATACACGCGCAACTCCAGAGGGTGCCAGAGCCCATCCCTTACGGATAACACTGAGGGAAAAACTTCCGGCACCAGTGCATGTGGCGAGCACACACACCTACAATGGAATGGACAGGAGCAACACATCTTGAAGAACAACAGTTACAAAAGGTAACCGTCTTTTCTTGCCCCACTCCCCAAGAGGACACTTCAGGAAAATGTTGTAAATAAAATGTGTCATTATTTAAATTAAGCAAAATAAGCACAGTTAGGAACCAAAATTTCAAACCTGTGTGTATCGAGGAAGAGGAATGGTCTTGTGTTTAAGGCATTAGATTGGGTCTCTGAAGACTGAGGGCCAATTCTCAGCTGTGCCACAGACCTTCTGTTTGATCTTGATCAAGTCGCTTAATCACTCAATGCCCCAAATCCTTACATGCAAAATTAGGATGATGCTTCCCTACTTCACAAGGATGTTGCAAATGTACTACATTGATGAGGACCTTAGAAGCACCAAGGGGGAGAGAGCTGGACATGGAAATCCATATGTATGCACCTGCATAAAAAGTGTCCTGACTTTTAGAAGTGCTACAGCACCCATTAACACCAATAAGAGTTTGAGTTTTTACTACCTCTGAAAATTTAGGCATCTAAATGCGAACTGAAGTGCCTAATGTAAGATATGCATGTTTGAAAGTGTTGGGCCTTATTTCAGAGCTAATAAATGAGAAAAACATTCCATTCACAGATTTGGGTGAGAAGGGTCAGAGTGTGACTATTAACAGAATATTCATAGATTTTTACTATATTCTTCCTGCTATATTAAGTTCATAAGTATGTGCACTAGCAACTAACTCATTCCGTTTAATAGTGAATGTTTTATTTTTTGATATAGAAGGTGACTCTTTAGACAGCTATTATATAAACATTTAGTACAGGAGTAAACTGAACTAAGAGCTTTAGCATTGTTAGTTTTATTGTAAAAAAATAAATGGTGCAATGTGCTCTGCCTCTCTTTGTTCAATTGATGGTCCTTTAATTCAGTTTTCAGACAACTATTATCGTGCTGAACTGATTGACGCACTAGCCAACTCTGTAACTCCTGCAGTCAGTGTGAACAATGAAGTTCGAACTCTGGATAATTTAAATCCTGATGTTCGACTCATACTTGAGGAAATTACCAGGTTCTTAAATATGGAAAAGCTTCTGCCCAGTTACAGACATACCATTACAGTCAGGTATGATTTAATAATTTCTAAAACTTATGCAAATATAAAGAGAGAATAGACCTAGTCATGTTTAATGTTGTTGTTTTTTTTAATTTCCTACATCCTGCTGTTAACACTGATGTAATCAAATTGAGCTTACTTTCCCTAGCCTTAAGTGATGTGTTCTCTTTATTTTAAATACACAAAAAAGGGCATTAACAGAATGCAGGAAAATATTTTTTGGCATAAGGACAGTAAAAGGCATGCAAAAAACCATTCTTTCATTTAAAAAATATTGCAAAGTATGTAAGGTATTTTTAAAACCATAGAATTAAGAAAACTTGAAAATATCAGGAAGAAATTTAAAACCTCACAGAACAAATACATGCAAAAACTAGTGTTAATGAAACTTTAATGTAGAAAAATTAAGCACTCAAATCATCAAAATCTAAAAATATATATTTTTAATGGCAATGTTAAATGATCACATTATGTATCCCATATTTATTATTCACAGTAAATTTATGAAGATTATGCAAAAGAAACAATTGGGACAATATATAGAATACAAAACATAATGGGCCAAATTTTCTGCTGGTGTATGTTGGAGCAGCTCCATTGAAGCCAAGAGGAGTGAATTTGCTCCAGTAGGGAATTTGGTCCAGTGTTTCTATCTACTGTATAAACTCATCTTTTATTAATTTTGTGTGCCTACAGCCCTGACAACTATAAAAACCCATGGTGGTATAGTAATTTGGATAGTTTTATCCTAGAAAATTTGCAGTGAAGTTTACAAATTAATATCATAATATTGAAGAAAATAGCTTTATTCACAGTGATTGATATTCCAGAAACTCACTGCAGATTGTCCTCCCTTTTCACCCTCACCCTCATCTAGCTGTCTGAAAGCCATTCGTGTACTTCAGAAGAATGGACATGTCCCCAGTGATCCTGCTCTCTTTAAAACATATGCAGAATATGGACACTTTGTGGACATCCGAATAGCAGCTTTGGAGGCAGTTGTTGATTACACAAAAGGTAATTTTAAAAAAAACTTTCGATCACTGCATAAAATTCACACGCCAATGCAAAACCTGAACAGTGACCTCAGTAATATTAAATAGAATAACTTTTCAGATGAAGTGACGCCATGACAGTAGATGAGCCAATGTGTGGATAAAAGAGAGCACAGGATTACTAATAAGGTTTTTGCCCTTACGAGCATGAGTTTCATGAAGTTCGGATGAATATTGCTTTTCAGTATCTCCTGAAGATAGAAACAAATGCCTTATGGAATGTGTTTTTGACGGTATGGTAGGTGATATAGAAAGCTGAAGAATTCCCTTTACTTTTTTTCAAGATTTAAAGAATTTGAGTGAGTGGTGTGTTTCTTGATGCAACCTTAGTTTTTGTTTTTGCTAATAGGTTATAATTTGCCATCTGCAGGCATGTTGGGTTATGAATTGGAAGGCAGAGGCTCGGCTTGGCTGGCTATTTGGTTGATTGTGGTTTTCCACTCCCTTATGTGGCTTATTTATAGCATGTTTCCATTTTGAAAAGCTTATTTGCTTTTATTTATTTTTTTCTTTGTTTAAAGTGCCTATAATAGATCTGACGTAAGGATTCTTTACTGCTTGAAAAATATTCTGTAACTTTCTTCTTAACCATCATTTGAAATTAAAACACCACACTAGCAAACTTTCCAGAGGCTATTGGAAATTAAGGCTTTAGTGATTTATGGAAATGCATAGTTAGTACTAGCTTAACCTGTTCCTTAGTCAATATTGCTGGGATCTTGTCTTTCTTTGTGCACAGATTGGCGCAGCTGTAGTATTTGCAGGTTATTTCCGCCCAACTGGCAAACTCCCTGAAGTTCTGTCTCTGCAAACAAAAGTGGTCAGGGGTGTTCTAGGCCCCCTACTTATTCCTTTATAAATGTAATGCTTCATTTTTTTTCAGGTAATAGTGAGCTTCCCTTCTCTTTTCTCATTTGCTTTCTCCTTCTGTAGAGTGCATTTTGAGGTATTTTCCCCCGCATTGACCTCTGAGTGGAGTATCTTGTTTAATGAAGGGCGTAGAAAGCTTAGGCTCTCAGGTTCCTGGTGCCAGAGTGAGACTAACAAACTTTCAGAGCTTTTGAACTCTTGTAATTTGAGGTACCTGCTTTGGAAAACAACATTTTTAGTTGTTACATCTGCCAGGAATGTGAGGATCTACTGGGTTGTTGTTTTGGGGTTTTTTAGACTATTAAAAGATGTACTGTATCAAAGGCCAGACTTGTCTTTGCTCCTTATAGTGTCATCTAGTTTCCATGTAAATTTCAAGAGCGGATCAAAAGCATTAATATCAGTCATTTAAGTCTGGCATAAACAGATTACACTACATGGCAAATGTCAGAAGAGCCCTATTATATTTCAAGCACAAGAGCCTTTAGTTGTTTAGTAAATAGAATAGACTTGTTTTTTACCAAGAAAGATGGGGTTCTTTATTTCTGTACCCTGACACTATTCATATAGAGAAGTTGCTTTTCAGACAGTCCACTCCATAATAAAAGGTCATTTACAAAACTTGCTTTATTAGCAATCCTAGGAATTGCAACTTAAATAAGTTTGATTTAAACTGCTCAAAAACATTGTGAGCTCCTGCTGCACAGTTTTATTTGCAATGATTTAGATGTTCCCTTAATGTTTTTTAGAAGCTGAATAGCATGTTTTCATCAATTTGCCTATGTATTATTTTTAGATAACCCTGTGATTTAATGCTAAGGGAGACAAGGAAAACTACGTCTCTTAATTAAGCAGTATTAATTTTTCTCCATATAAAGCTATCCTCATATGTAATGCTCCATCCATCCTCTACTCCACTTCAGTCACTTATCAAGCAGAGTGCCCAGAATGTGAGCACAGGGAGCTGAGGAACCTATGTGATGTTACTATTTAGAGTGATAGGCTGAAGTCTACCTGACATGCAGACACAAGACCAAATTATCAGTGCTTAAAGTATTCAAAAGTCTTAAAGGAGCAACCAAAATTAATAACTCCTTTGTGTAAAAGGCACTGTCCTCCTTTGAGTATGTGTCAGTGTGGATCCCACTCAGGGTGAAAGTAAGCCAGAACGGGCCCGTATAGCGTACTGGTAAAAAGTGGCCCCTGGAACCGGCCCGTAGCAGCCAACGTTAAAGCTTTAACGTCGCTGCCCCTTTCCCCCCTCCCCCCCGGGCCACTGACAGTGGGGGGCAAAAGGAGCATCTGCCGGCGATTTAAAAGTGCCAGGCAGCGCGGATGGGTTGGCTGGGGGATGCTGACCGGAGCCAGCCCCTGTTCTGGTAAGAGTCAAGTGTTACTTTCACCCCTGATCCCACTGTAGGTGTGCGAGTGTCCATCAGAGCCATGTGTGAGCCCTGTTCTTCGAGTAGTGTCCCTATGGGTGCCTCACTTCAGGTGCACATGCACCTGTGATCAGAGATTTTAGGTAGCAGTGCCCCTTTGGCCCGTGTCTGCTCTACTCTACCTCATGCACTGCACCGTGGCTATATAGAGCTGCACAAGTAAACTGCCCTCAGTTTCTTCTCAGCTGCCTCAGCCTGAGACGGAGCCTCAACAGTGTCTACGTTGAACTTACCTCAACTATAATTTTTTTTCTTAATTTTACTTAACTTAGTTGTAGTAGTAGTAGTTAATTATGATTAACTGTATTTAAATCACACATAAAAAAAATCTTGTGAGGATCGTTGTTGTTTCAGTTTTTTTTCCCTGTGGGGACCTTTAGGTTGTTGGGAGGGTATGCCTGGCTATCTGGGTTTTAAATGTTGCCTTTTGTGCTGGGAGGCTGTCCTGTGAGCAGTGGGCAGTACTGACGGAGTCATCACCTTTTTCGTCCGATGCTCCACCTCTATAAAGTGATGTTGAAGAGGAGGAGGAGGATGGGAATTTCTCATCAGTTTCTCAAATTTAAGTTCAGGGCTCCCCTCCTCACTGTCAGAGGAGTATTAATATGGAGACTTCTAGGGAGAAGGAGCATATTCCAGAAAGACACCTTCAAGATCAATCCCAGTGGTATGAGCACTCTTGGATGCCCCCACCTATACCATATGGGCCTCCTCATTGTCCATACTGGGAGCCAGGAGAGGCATACTACCAACAATTCTCTAGGACCCCCACCCGCCAGCATCACTCGTCAGCACAATAGAGGTAGACTATCCCCCCCCATCCCTTCTCTCAAAGGCCCGAAGTACAAGAAGAGACTTTCAAGGAGCAAGAGGCAAGAGTGGACAAAGAAGTCACTATGCCAACCAACACCTCTCCTTCATCCCCAGATGAAGCAATCATGCCTGCCCCACCAGTCCTGGCTGATGACTTCAAACAGTTCCAGGACCTTATTAAAATGGTAGTGGCCTCCTTCCAGATACCATTTGATGAGGAGGTTAAGGAGTCACAACATAAACTTCTAGATAGTCTGCCTACAGCGTTACCTGCCTGAATTGCATTCACTATTGCACCACAGAACCCTATTGATAAGGTTCTGCTCTGCTGGATCCTCCAAAAGTAATATCCCAGTGACAATATCGCCCACTTGTAGAAGGGCTGAAAAAACATATTATGTTCCATCTTTCCCAATTAACGTGGAAGTTAGCACCACGCTAAATCAATGTTGTACGATAGAGATCAGAAGCATCTTGATTCATTTGGTCACAAATCATGTTCGTCTGTGGCTCTGCGGTTTAGGATCACCTACTGTCAGGTGTTGATGATATGATTATATTTCACCAGTTACTCAAAGCTCAATTTGTTGAGCATTTACCACCAGAACAGAGGGATCAGTTCCAGGCAATCATTACAGAGGGTCAGCCTCTTGCCAGAACATCTCTGCAGACCTCTCTGGATGCTGCTGACACAGGTGCTTGCTTTATTTCTACGGCGGTAGTCGTGAGACAGGCCTGCAGGCTTCAGCTCTCAGGATTTCGGATTGAGATCCAGAATACAGTTAAGGACCTTTCCTGCAATGATTTAAAACTGATTGCAGAGAATAATTAAAAGTCTCTGCATACTTTGATTCCAGGGCCACTCTACATTCCCTGGGAATTTACACACGTGCACTTAAAAAGAAATTTAGTAAGTGCCAGACAGCGCAGAGATCTTGTCCTGTTCAGTTCTCTGAATCCCAGAGACCTTATGAACTCCAACGAAAAAGGCAGAGGTTCCAGAAAGAGACTGTCTGCCACACAGGTATCAACCTCACAACCCTCATCATCAAAACACCAATTTTGATTGTTTGGTTGAGGTTCTGAATTACTCCCCCTTTCTCCTTACCAGCTACAACAGTTCGCATACCTTCCTTGCTTCAGAGGCCTTTTTCACTTCCAACAAGCTTGGAAGCATATCACTGTGGACAAGTGGGTTTTGGAAATCATATCAGCAGGATACACCATCCATTTTACTTCCCTGCCGCCATCCCACCCACCTTCACTGTCCCCCTTCAGGGCCCTGCTGCGGGGACAGAGTCCGAGTGAGCCAGAGCCCCTCTCCTCCCACATCCCACCCAACCCTGGCAGCCTAGCCCAGGCAGGGAGCGGGCTATCACTGCCTCCCAGCTAGGCTCTCAGGCAGACGCAGCTCCTTCCCAAACCCTGCCCGGTTGCCAGGGAGAGTGGCCGAACGTGCTGGGTGAGTGGGAGGGGGACATACAAGGAGAGAACAGAACACAGCTCCCTCCCCACAGGTAACATATGCCTTGGAGAGAGTGGTGGCCCTGGGCTGGATGCAGGGCGGGGTGGGTGTCACTGGGCAGGGGAGACATACGTGTCCTCCCCTTTAGATTGTGCCCCCCTCCCAGTATGGGGAGGCACCAGTTGTCTGTGGGTGTCCCACCATATACTTGTTTGCCACAAAGGACACCAAACATCTGAATTTCTGGTCCAGAGGAGGCATGACGCCAGTCTTCCCATCGGACACCTTCCTCTTCAGTGGGCTTGGGGATTGCTGTGTGCTTTCTTGCTGACTCTTCTGATCTCCAGAATAACTTCCAAGATTGGACAGGATAACGCTTTGTCATTGTGACAGCCTTATACTGTCCAAGTTTGGCTGCCAAACCTGGTAGAGATATCAAAGAAGCCTCCTATGCACCTTCTGGTTTGCTCAGACATAGTATCCTGGAACCTCAGTCAGATAAAGCACTCAGATCTGTAGTCATTTTGGCTGGCTGAGCACTGCTGACAGAAGCTGCTCACTACAAGTTCAGGAAATTCTTATACAAAGCAGGAAACTATCCACCAGGAAGACATACTTTCCAAAATGTAAAAGGTTCTCCATATGGGCAACTCAGAATAATATTGACCCAGTGCAAGCCCCAATACTGAAAAATCCTGGACTACATTCCCTCCTGAAACACACAGGGTAGCATTTAATTCCTTAAGGTTCACCTTGCTCTGAAATTGGTGTGTCATGTTCTAGTACAGTCATACTCTGTCTTGTCACACTTTATGATACTGAAATTCCTCAAGGGCCTTCTTCATTCTTGTCCTCCAGTCAGGACCTGACTCCCACATAGGATCTCACATTTTCCTTTTAAAGCTTAGCGAGAGAATGCTCAGTACACTACATTGCCATCAATATGGTTTTTCTCATGGCAGTTACCTCAACGCAGAGTTAGTGAACACCACGGTCTTATGGCCAGTCTGTGTTACTCCTCCTTCCATAGGGATGAGATGGTGATGAAACCACACTCTTAAGTTCATCAATTAAGGTGGTCTCGAAATTCACCTGAACCAACCCCATCACCTTATCAGTCTTCAGGTGAAGCTGAACTAAGTGCCAAGAAAGAAGAAGGTGCATGCTTGGATGTCTCCAGAGCCTTGCTATATTACCTACCTGTATTATTAAAGGACCAAACTTTCCTGGCTTTCTCCACCTCTTTGTGACTATATCCAGTATCGAAAGGTCAAGCTCTCTCATCATAGAGCAACTTGAAATGGATCATGCAGCATATTTCCACCTATCAGTTGGCTGGTGAGTCACTCCGTCCAAACATCAAGGACTACTCCCCAGGGCTCAGGTGGCATTGTCCACCTGCTTCAGAAAAGTTAGTCTCTGTGATCTGCAAGGCAGTTATGTGGAGCAATTCACTAGCTTTTGTTGAACATGTGTTTTGATGTGGCAGCCAGATCAGATGCCAACTTTGGAAGTGCAGTACTTCTATCTGACTGATACAGCTGAAACTTCTCATTCCCACTCTCCGGGGAGGATACTGCTTGTCAGTCACCTCTAGAGGGATCCACATTGACATATACTCAAAAAAGAACAATTTCTTACCATACAGCAACTGAGGTTAGTTAAGATATTGTGGATCCCATAACCCCACCTTCTGTCTCCACTTTTGGGAGTCCTGATCAATGCAGGCTTTGAATTGAGAGGGAACTGAGGGAGGGCTGTGGCCACTCCACCCTTTATGCCCTCACACACGAGCACACGAAAGCACAGGCACATGCATAGCCTGACGGACACTGCTAGTAATTAAAAAAAAAAAAAAAAAAATCCAGTCTCTCACACGCGAGGTGCATGTGTACCTATAGTTGGATGCACATTGACTAAACGCCTTGAAGAATCACAATTCCTGTAGGGTTTGTAACCATTCTTTCTTCTAGTAGAGCTATTAAGCTATTAAAATATTTTTAAGGAGAAGATGCTGATTTTCTGTAGATAATTTTCAGTATAATTACCTGTTCCATTAAAACCGAGTTGCCTTATATTCAGAAGTATATAGGTCATTTCAAAGAGCAATAGCAACTATTTGTTGGTGTAGATTAGACTTGAAAAGCTAAATAAGTTATAGTCCAAAAACTGCTGAAGTAGAGACCAAAACTGAAGCAAATCAGAAGGAAAAGTTGAACTGAAGTGAATAAAACAGATGAAAATTAGATAAGGGAAATGAAATACAGAAAATGGAGAATGTTTGTTTCTATAAAGTAGAAAGAGAGCAGCAAACTTTTTGTTGAAGGCATCTGCACAGGAACAATTAGTAAATGCAGTTGAAATGTGGAGGATGCTATCTTGATAGATAAGTAAAGCCACTGCTGAGCAATTAACTATATATTGTGGGTGGTTGTGAATTAAATAATGTTGTGGCACCCCACGAAAATGAAATGAGGAAAACAGTTGAATGAAGATTAGTCTCTTTGAATTTGTATATTTTCATATGTTTACTTTATCCCATACTATTGTTTTTCTTTTGTAGTATTATAGGGTAATTAAAGGGATACAGTCAAATGATTTAAGCCTCTACCTAACCTACTAATTTAGTTCCTAATCTTAAACCAATCCATGTACAGTATTTACTCTAGGAGCACTCGCTAACACATTCATGATTGGGTCACTGACTTTTGAAATATTCAAAAACAGTTTGATAGAGAACAGGTTATAAGCATATGGAGAAGAGTATGTTCACAGTTTTGTGTATAAGTAAGGCCTGTAGTCCATAAGTGAGTATTTTCCTAGCATTTTTTACAGCTAGACATCTATTACAAAACTTAATGGATAGTTAGTGTCAGGATAATATTTTCTATACTCTTCTGAATGAAATATACTACAGGATTATATTCTCTACATACTATTCACTTTTTAGTGTGTAATGTCGAATACTGAAGAATTTTTGCTCCTTTTAAAAAGAAATTGTCATTTTAGATGTATCACTGGTATTAATCTATACTGACATGGAAATGTCTGTTTCATCATTTGTGATACATTCCAATCATACTACAGCTACACATAATCCCTGGTGATTCTATGTAACACATATAGAATAATTTTCTAATTGGTCTTTGCTTCCCTCTTTAGTTGTCTCTGCATACTATTAACAAGTCATTTAATTTTTGTTATAGTTGATCGGAGTTATGAGGAATTACAGTGGTTGCTTAACATGGTTCAGAATGATCCTGTACCTTATGTAAGGTTAGTATGTCTACAAAGACTCAAAGTCAGCACTTTTCACTAATATTAGAATTAGTGCATAGAATTCTTTGGCCTGTGTTATGCCAGAGGTTAGGCTAGATGACCATAATGGTCATTTCTGGCCTTAAAATCTATAAATATTTTGTGAAAATTTGTTTCCATTAATTTGTAAAATACCACCAACATTCATCTTTGATGTTTATGGTAATTTATACTTAGCAACGTGTTTCTCATTGTTTAACAATCCATAACTAAAAAAACAAAATTTGATAAGTTTTTGGTCTCAAACTACATGTATTTTCTGTTTTGTCCTTTGATTTAAGAGGCTTTCCTACAGATAATTGGCATATGCAAATCTAATATTGATCTGTTGCATACAACAGTTGTTGTTTTTTAATCTCAAGTGTGTATAAGTGTGTTAGGACTGAATGAACATCATTATGTTTGGCTACCAAAGAGTGTAAAACAGTTGTTAGACTGTAGATGGGGTGAAAGGATAACAAGTGAAAATGTTGTGGTTACTTGATAATTTTATCTGATTTAATTTAGATTTAGCCAATGTAATACTGTATATATTTTAGCATGGCAGCCTCTGATCTTCGTTTCCCTGCTCCTCAATTCCGTCTGTTCCTGATTGCCAGTGTAGTAGTACTGTTCTTTAAGATGAATAGACTTGGTATTTTTCCTATTTATCTTTTAGGCTTCCTGTGCAAGTATAGTTACTAATTTCCCTATCCTAGGAATATATTGCTGCTGTTCTTTTTAAAGAAAGTTAGATATAATTTGACCCATTAGATCAGAGATAAGTAACAGGCAACATCAGCTGAGGAAGCAGAATATTTTTAATTGAGTCTCTCGAAGAGATGCTGTCAATTTGCATTTTTTATTAATTTTTAAATTCCAGTTTCAGATAGAGCACCCACTTTAAAAATTATATCCTTAATATAAAAAAAATCCCTTCAAATCTTAAAGGTTTTTCTGTTCCCATATTTATAAGGGCCTTTTCAACAAGGGAGAAAACTGACTATTTAGGGGAAATGGTGAAAATTACTATTCACAATGTGTTGTCAAAAGCATAGTAAACAATCTGAAAAATTACAGTGTTTTTTTGTTTTTTGCTCACTGCTGGCAGGTATTGGGGTCATAGGTGTTGCATGCAAAATATTCAGACAGTAATGTAATTTCTAAATTGTTGCCGTCCTTTTAAAAAGTGAAGAGTGAGTCTTAAATGTTTTTACTGATTCCTCTAATTTTGTAACACGTTTAATGTTTAAACAAGTTTAAAAACAAAACTGAAAATAAATATTTATTAGAATGTGAAGAGAATATTGACCCAGTACAGCTCCGATTAATTTCCCTTAGAGCATAACACGGCCTTTCAAATTGTCATGAAAACAAATCAGCCTCGATACAAAATCACACTTTCCCTTTACCATAGTGACAGGTTTCAGAGTAGCAGCCGTATTAGTCTGTATCCGCAAAAAGAACAGGAGTACTAGTCTCTAAGGTGCCACAAGTACTCCTGTTCTTTTTTCCCTTTACCATGATGAGTGATGCTATCAACTAATGTCCACCCTGGTCATGTCCTATTTATTATCTGAAAACTAATTAATTTGGGGATGAGATGTGCATATATGTGTGCATGTACAGACAGAAGAAATACATAAAAGGAATTAAAATATATGTATATATTAGGGGCTCACAAATCTTAATATTTGTATTCCTAATAAAAACTCCAGTGTCAAAAACAGAATTGCAGACACAAAACAGTAACTTTGGAGTCTCAGTTCATTTGGATTAAAAAGGGAATTTTTGTTTCTCTTTCAGACATAAGATTTTGAACATGCTGACGAGGAATCCACCCTTTACTAAGAACATGGAGTCTCCCTTGTGCAATGAAGCTTTGGTGGATCAGCTTTGGAAACTTATGAATTCAGGTTGAATCTGTTCTGTATTTTAAGAAACTTGGTGTGGTTAGCATTCTGCATATTCTCTGGTATATAAAATGAGCTCTCCTTAGGTTTGTTGAAGCTCAAAAATTGAGGCTTTCCATTCACACTTGCATCATCTTGTAGTGATACCCAGCATATAGGATTGTCCTTTGGCACCCTGTTTTTCTCCATCCTCTGCAATTACTGTACTTGTTGCAGAGTACATTTAGCATAGACTCACATCTCGTGTGATTCTTTGATCCAAGCCTGCAAAAGTAATATTTCTTGTAAGAGGGCCAACAGTTTTCACCTTGTGTTACTACTTCACACATTGTGTCTTTTCTATTATAAAATGTTGGAATGTAATTTTCATAGATATAATTTTTGAATAAATCCTGAAATGAATTTTTGAATTATTTTCAATATTCAAATTGATCAAACACTTCAAGTTCTCATTAGATTAAGCACCTCCGTCCCCAACCTAAATGAGTAAAATAGATTTTAGAATTTCTGTGGATAAATTAGATCATAAGAAGTTTTTACTTTAAAATTAAGACTTACTTGGCTTTGACTAGTAAAGATCCTAATGTGAGAAGGATTTGTATCTTTTGCTATTGACTTGTTTTTCATTACTGAGGCAGTTTTATCCAGTACTCACGAACTGCTCTTTAACATTTGGCACAGTACGGATTACAAATAAACATTTACATAGTCTTTTAGGTCATTCAGAGCTGACTGTTCTCTTTGCATCTTTATTTTTAGTGCTTGAAAGTTTACAGCTACACTCCAGGGGTTAAAGTAGGGAGACTACTAGTAGTTCAGTTTTGTAAGATTTGCCAAGTGTCAGACTCAGGAAATAAACATTTTGATGTTATCTCCAGAGAATTTGTGTTCCCTGTTTCTCAAGAGAAATGTGTGTGCAGTGTTCACTTATATCCATTACCTCCTTTGGCAAATAACAGATAAGATATAAATTTTTGTTATATTTGGGACTTAAAGCACTTAGTCCCTATGCATGAAGATGACATTCTGGTTGAATTTTATTTTCTGTAAATAAAAATACAAAGATAATTGCAAAGTGTGAGTGCCAATAAAAATGTTTGTTAAAGGCAAGATGAATTGTTAATCCACCAGATATATGGCTGCATGGTCTTAAAGCAGTGGTGCATTTACATTTACTAAAACCTAAAATAATTACATTGTGGGGAAACAAATCTTTGTTTTTTTCTGTAATCTTTCATTGACAAACATAAAGTTGATAATACTACTGAATTCCAAAGAGTGTAGTGTTGAGCTATATTTACAGGGGTTCGCATATTCTCCCAGCAGTTGTATTTAAGATTAACAGTTCTGCGGACCTACTCTGTGAAAGTGGGACTGATGCTGAATATTGATGATCTTTTATTGAATATTAAATGGCCAGATCGTTTATAAAGAAAAAATAAGTATAGTTCATATCTCATCAGCAGCATATTTTCTTGTTCAGTTTGAATGTTAAATCTGTCCAGATTTCATTGCTCCCCCCATCACCAGCCAATTGTTCATGCAACTCTCATCAGAAAAGAGGTGCCTGAAACTGCATAAATATATAAAACTAAGTCTATTCCAAACACTGTTCGCTCCCATGGTACTTGTAATCCACAAGAATACATCTTGTAATTTTCCCTCTGCAAGGTCTTGCTCAGCCAAATCAACATGGCAGTTGGCTCATCCTTGTCTTGTTTACCAATTTAATTTCTATTCCTGCTAGGGAACAATAAGTTTGATGAACTTGTAATCAGTCAAGTGCTGGCCGGAGTTAGCACCAAAACCATTGTACTTACAACATTGTGCCAGATGTTAGATGTTTTTTTGCTTTGGGTGGTGCCAAATGTGCTTTTACCATTAGTGTGTGATGATGTCAATGCAACGTGGAGTTTTTAATCATTTCATTTTTCATAAAAGCATTTTTAGTGTATTAAAACATTTTCTTAAATTTAATTACAAATCAGAATATTGGATTCTAGTTGAAACATACTAGATGGTAGTCACCTTAATTGCTCCTTTTGAAGTATGTCAGTGACATTTCCAGAGCGTGTACAGCAGTTATACCCCAGTCATGATTGGGGTTCCTCTTCTGCTAAATGTTATAAAACACAGAGGAAAACATGGTTCCTACCCTAAAGACTTTTCAGTCATGTCTCTTTCTCACAGACTTAGAACTATGGTTGTCTTGGAACATAATGCTTCACTAGTAACTGGAGTCTGTTGCTGTTGTATGGATGCAAGAATGACTGACAGACAGAAGTAACAACTCATTTTACTTATGATTACAGACTGCATCTCAGTCCCTTGCCTAGAGCTGACCTCCTACATGATGGTATTCAGTAACATACATTATTTTTAAAAAGAGTATATGTAGGCTTGAGAGACAAGGTGAGGGAGGTAATGTCTTTTATTGAACAAATTTCTGTTGGTGAGAGAGACAAGTTCTTCTTCAGCTCTGGGTGGCTCTAAAGCTTGTCTCTCTCACAAAGAGAAATTGATCCAGTAAAAGATCAATTTCTCACCCACCTTGTTTCTCTAATTTCCTGGGACTGACACAGCTACAGCTACACTGCATATGTGTAGACTTATAACAAAGGCAAGATAATAATGATCATACAGAACAGGAGACAAGACAGGGTAGAAACATCATGACTCTTGAGTGTATAGCAAAACTGAATTGCCAGGATTTTATTGATTTGTACTACAGAATATGTGATTGGTTGAAGCTAGTTTCTGGTGTGGCAATGATTGCTGCTGTTTAAGATTCTTGCTTAGTTGTCCAATTTTACAGCTTCCCCAGACTGCTAGTTGTGCTGGATTTTATAGTTTTGTGATGTAGACAGTTAGAGAATAGGTTGAAGCAATAAAATTCAGTTTATTTGTCATGTAACTCATTTTCACATCCAGACTTGTTGAGGTAAAAGGCTAGTTTGTCAATGTGTTGTTCCACTTACCTGCTAATTGTCTTTGAAAGTAAAATCTAAAATGAGATGTTAAATATGAAAACTAGTGGCATGTGTATTTTTTATTAACATTATTTAGCGTTGTTGTGATATAGCACCCAAAGATTCCCGTTGTGATTGGGGTCCTGTTGTGGTAAGCATTGTACAGAACATAGAGGAAGACATGCTCCCAGCCTCAAACAACTTACAGTCTTTATTAAAAGCAAACATAACAAGTGAGTGTAACAAATAATAGGAGGGAAGGAGGAAGGATGAGGACAGCATAGGCTAAAAATGTGCACAGCGTGATGGCTCCAAATCATTTGAACTTTTTTTTTTTTTTTTTTTTAAAGATTATCTCTACATTTTAACACTTGCCCCTCCTTGATTTTTAGGTACTTCACACGATTGGAGGCTCCGATGTGGTGCTGTGGACCTGTACTTCACGCTTTTTGGCCTCAGTAGACCTTCTTGTTTGCCATTACCAGAGCTTGGACTGGTCCTTAATCTGAAAGAAAAGAAAGCTGTACTTAATCCTACCATCATCCCTGAGTCAGTGGCAAACAGTCAGGAACCCATGAACAATCCTAACAATCATGGACAACTGATAGGATTCCAAAGCACTGTAAGCACTGACCATCTGCACATGCCTCCCCCACCCTGCTTTGAATACTTCTGCTGGCTCCCAGTTGTACTGTGTAATGAATTCAAACTTCTTGTCTGAACTTCCAAGACTTAACCCTCTGACCTTTTTGTTCTGTGTTACTCTCAAGTCTTTCAGTATAGTGCCAGCCTTAATACCCTCTGTCTCTTTCTCTCATTCCACCTTTGTGCCTTTTCCCTAATGTGTGGAATGACCTTCCAGCTAGTTTCCCGAGCCCTCATTTGTATCCATTCTAAAACGTAACTGTTTCTGTATCATTTACAAGAAGTAAGCCTTATTCACACAGAACCTGTGTGGTATAAAGATTTTTATCAGCATGAAAATGGGATATATTGAGATTTTTTTTTTATATTTCCATCTAGAAACCAAGTGCCTTAGTTCCCATGAGTCCAACTACACCTGAATGCATGGCTCCAAGAGACTCATAGAAGCGTCTAAAAATGTCAGATTTAAAATCTGATATTGTTTGCCTTTCAATTGCGTGGTCCCACTGGGAAGCTAGAAAAGTCCTCTTCCCAATGGTATGAAGATCCCATTTCTAGGCCTTTGAGGATGCAGGATGTTGGATTTTAAAGTCATGTATTTTTAATATAAAAACTGCCACTAGTTCAGAACTAAATCTTGCCTAAAGTGGTCCTTGGGCAGATGTAATTATGGAGGGAAAAGTCAACATTTAGTAGAGAAAGAGGAAACTACTTTTGTGACAGGTTAATTTTTAAAAAAATCAGCTGTTATAAGAGTAAGTGCTAGTGAGAGAACTTAGTAGGCGGAAGGTAACTCACTGGTCATGTATAAAATTTGATTGTAAGCAGTTTGGGATAGGAACCTGTTCCTTAACTCCCTCTGAGGCAAATAGCACACGTAGGAGTAAAAATAACATATACATTCAAAGTAATGGGAAATAAATACAGAATTTTTTCTCACTACAAAGTCCATCTTTTCTCTAGTCCTTATCTTTAGAGTCAGAGTTGAGCTCAAAGCTTTTAGAGAATAAAAATATCATGAGTGCAGAAATTCAGTGTTAATGTGTGGATCATCACAGATTCTTTGAATTGCCTCTGAAAGTTATCAACATTTGTGCAACACTTAACTTATTCACGTATAACTAGTTTCTGTCCTCAGATGTGCATCATGAATGTCCTTATTTATAAACGTCTCTGTAACATTTTTTGCTTGTATCTGAGCACCTGACAGCAACTCATAGGCAGATAGCTATGTGTATGTAAAGGCAGATGTGGCCATTAGCTTGTAATATACTTGGAAGCAGCATACTCTGAAGAATGTGTGAGCAAACAACATCATTTCGCTATATCTGTTGTTTGTGAAACTTACTTAAATATGTGTCTTTGTTATTAGATGTGCCTACAGCACACACAATACCTTGATTTCTGGGTGTTTATGCATTTTCCTGCTTTAAGGATCTAGGTAACCTCTTTTCAGTTCCCAGAACTTGGCTGTGTTCATTTTCAAAAAAATATCACCCTAAACTGATGCTAATTTAGTTTTCCTTGTGAAATTCAAACAGAATAATACTGTACCGAAGTTGGATAGCACCTCAGGCAAACTTTCTTCCAGAATGTTTCACAGACTTAAATAGTGTTAGGAGTAATAATAGAACATGAAATGAAGAGGCCTGACAAGGATAGAAATATATTTTTGTGAAGTAAAAAGAATTTCTGACAGATGCTAGAGCATATCTAGGTTGACTAGATTGTCTTTTGAGGTTGCATGTTCTGTGAGCATGAGTTGTTTGAGAATGAGATTTGTTAAATTATTGTTCTGGAATCTGCTGTGGGAGGAGGTAAGTTTCCAAGGCTGAAGTTTTAATTCTAGAAAGCATGCATTTATACCATGTGATTGGTGTGGGACACTCCTGATTCAGAAGCGGTACACCACCTTAGTATAGTAGTAGATGCTTCTAATGGTTTGGAGAAAAAGCTATGGTAGGCCTTACTTTTGTCTAGGTTTTAGAAAGGGCTAGTGTCTGTTTCTGTAAGTACGTTTGTCTTTTCCTGTATTTTATTTTGTATTTTCATTGTACTTTGGAAAGCCTTTCTCCTTTTTAATGCCTATAACTGTGTAGTTTGTAACTCATTAGACTTATACATTTATTTTCATGTTCCTCTTACCTTTATTTTGGTTAATCTAAGCAGTAGTTTTCAAAGGGGTCTTACACATCTCCTTTTTGGAGAAAAGCTAGTATGACATCTAAAAGGAAATCAAAGGCATAACCATTATATTTGACTTTTATTCAACAAAATTAGTGTTCACTTTTAAATTTAACCTCTGAAGAAGATTAATCTAAATCCCTTGTTTAGATCAGAAACTATGATAATTTTCAACTGAGATTTGAAATGAGGAGAGTTAGTGAGGCAGATATATATAGAAAGGCTTTTCAGGAGCTGCAGAGATTTGTTGCACACCAACAGTACCATGATTGTGAGAAGGGACAGAAGAGAGGCCAGTTCTAGATATGCAGAGGGAGCAAGGATTGAAGTAAAGAGAAAGTATGTTTGTAGGAGAGGTTGGCACAAATCCATGAAAGGTTTTAGGGAATATTTTTTGCCTCAACTACAGGGAAGATTCTGTTCAACTCAAGTGTGTTTTCAACCATTATGTCACTTTTAGATTTAAATATGCTTTTGCTGTCTTCTAATTTTAATCTTTAAATGCTGCTTCAGGAGGATGATCATCTTGTTAAAGAAACAGCATCCAGCGTTTCTGTTCATCAGCAAGGGGTGAAGAGGAAGGCTGATATGCCACTTGGGTCCCCATTGGAGCCAGGGCAGATACCAGAGAAGAATGAAGACAGTAAAGTCAAACTAAAAATCAGAGTAAGAAAATGGCAATTCAACTTTAACAATATGTAGGGTATTTAGTATAACAGTAAAGTCTTTTGCTGAGTTTTCTAACCGCTGTAGCCTAACAAAAGGCATGCTGTGCATATGTGTAAGGTAGTTGTTGTGATTACTTTGGCAAAATCATCTCCCATCAGATTCTTTATTGGCTGGCAGGGAGTGAAGCTGCCAATTAATGTTCTAAATGTTCATGCTGTTTCCACTGTAAATTAGAAAGAAGGATAATGAGCAAGACTTCTATATTATACATTCCTTCATTTTTGTTCATTATCTGTGATAAAAATTTGCTTCCTTTCCCCAGAAAAATAAGACCTGTTAGAATTAATTATTAATATTACCTTATTTTTACATATTTCTTGCTGGTGTTTTAGTTCTCAAACTCTCAGGAAGAGGAGGAAATTGATATGGACACTGTTCACGATAGTCAAGCTTTTATCTACCATCATTTGAATATGTTGGAGAGACCATCAACACCAGGTATGAATAGGTTAATTTGCAGATCATAGATAGTATATGAGTCTCAACCAGTGAAAGTGTTCTTCTTCTGCAACTTTTTCCCCCCTGAATGCACTTTAGTAAATGTTTGAGTGTTGATGAAAAGCAAGTGTAGAATGGTTTCTGTGAGTCTTATATGTCATTAGGTATTCAAGAATAGTTCATTTAAATATATATTACTGTGGTCTGGTTGTATATTTTTGATACATTTCTTAGTTAGGAAATATGTTACGCTTAGAAAAAAAATGCAAATTAAAATAATAAAACGAAGCCAGAAAAACAAAGTTAGGGAGAAGAAAAATAGACCTAGTCAGTGATTTAGGAAAGTTGGTTTCTGACTGTACTAGGTTACAAAAAACATTTTTAAATAGAAGAGAACAATAAAGCAGAAGCAAATCTATTCTAGTAACAAATGTCTAGTGTGGCCAATCTGAATAAGTTATAACTGGATTAATTCTAGTAATAAAGACACTCAAACTGGCCTCAGAGATACTTATGACTGTTTTAAACTTGAAAAGTTTCCATTTGTGACTACCTTTTTGTTTCCTGTCCTTTAGACAATTATCTTGTCGAGTTCTGTTACTCCTCTTCTCTGGATTTTTACCTCTAAGTATTATTCTTAGATATTTCTTGAAAACCTTAAGCAAAGTTCCTTACTAAATTTCCCTACTCTGTTATTAATAGAGAGAAATTCAGTAACTGACCAACACTAGTTAATCTTTGATTTCTCCTTCTTCTAGCGTGTCCCATAAATAATTACCAATATTTTTTCCATAACTTTGCTGAACTCTGAAAGGTGATTTGCAATGTTTTACCTTTTAAAGTATAGTATATAGAAGGGCGGTAAGCATATAAGTGCAAGAGTAGTGTCATGGCTAGTCATAAAATGTGTAGGACTGGAAGGGACCTCTAGTCAGGGCTATGTAATAAGTAGACCATTCCTGACAGGTGTTTGTCTAACCTGTTCTTAAAAACCTCCAATGATGGAGATTCCACAGCCTCCCTAGACAATTTATTCCAGTGCTTAACTACCCTGATAGGAAGCTTTTCCTAATGTCAAACCTAAACCGACCTCGCTGCAATTTAAGCCCATTGCTTCTTGTCCTGTCCTCAGAGGTTAACAAGAACAGTTTTCACCCTCCTCCTTTTTAACAACCTTTTATAGACTTGACAACTGTTATCTTGTCCTCCCTCAGTCTTCTCTTCTCCAGACTAAACAAACCCAATTTTTTCAATCTTTCCTCAGAGGTCATGTTTTCTAGACCTTTAATCATATTTATTGTTCTCCTCTGAACTTTCTCCAATTTGTCCACATCTTTCCTGAAATGTGGCATCCGGAACTGGACACAGTACTCCATATGAGGCCTTATCAGTGTGAAGTAGGTGGAAGAATTACTTCTCATGTTTTGCTTACAACACTCCTGCTAATACATCTGTGATGGGGTGTACCAGGCCCTTTGAGGCCCCCTGCTGGAGGCCTCACAGTCCTACCACGCCCCGCCCCAGGAAAGGAGCAGTAAAGGTGGGTCCTCCAGGCCTGCACCCCCACTTGATATGCTCTTCCATCTTGACTGTGAACCACTGATAACTGCTCTCTGGGAACAGTTTTCAAACCAGTTATGCACCCACTTTATAGTTGCTCCATCTCAGCTATATTTCCCTAGTTTGTTTATGAGAAGATCATGTGAGACAGTATCAAAAGCCTTACTAAAGTCAAGATATACCATGTCTGCCACTTCCCCCCATCCACAAGGCTTGTTATCTTGTCAAAAAAAGCTATTTGGTTGGTTTGACACTATTTGATCTTGACAAATCCATGGTGACTGTTACTTATCTCGTATTATCTTCTAGGTGTTTTCAAATTGATTGCTTGATTATTTGCTCCATTATCTTTCCGGTTACTGAAGTTAAGCTGACTGGTCTGCAGTTCCCAGGGTTGTCCTTATTCCCCTTTTTATAGACTGACACTATCCTTTTCTGCTGTTATCGCAAAGCATGGTGCATGCTGGGGCATGTCAGCTACCACCGATACTCATTAGCTTATGAAGCTGATCTGTTGAATGTTAGTATTTATAACTTCTATGTGATGTTTTGCAATGTTTCATTTTTTATTATTTTATTTACTATGGGGTATAAAGTCATAAACAGGAAACTTTGCAAAACTGTGCCAAATTGTTCACAAATGGGACTTGCGGGACTCTCCGTCAGCCAGCTCCATGCTCTAATGTTCCATATTAAGTATGCTGAGGTTCAGAATGAGAGTATTCTGAATCAGAGTAGAATGGGGGCCAGTTGGCCATTACTTATATAGATCTATAACGGACAGAAATATTAATCTGAGATTATGTGCTGAATCACGCACTTACCCCTGCTATTTATATATTTAGCACAGATGAAATACACTTCATTTCTTAGGTCACTGAGAAATCAGACATTATCTTTGCCTCTGAAAGTGCATGGAACTCACTTAAAAGCCTTTGAAAATCAATGTATTTTGAGAGACAAGGTGGGTGAGGATTACCTAACCCACTTTGTATCTCTAATATCGTGTGACCAACGCAGCTACAACTACACTGCATACAATACTGTATTTTGAGACAGTTTGATCTTAGCATATTTTTTCTTGTTTTCTCTTCCTTGATTTATACTGCTATTTATACTGCCAGGGACAGTTTTATTAAAAATATTCTTTGCTTTTAAAACTTCACCTTTTTCTCCTTTTTGGTACAAACAGAGAAATATGAAGTTCAGGTGAGCAATAAGGGCAGATGAGCTCAAATAATAAACAAATGAGGAAAAAGCCTACCATATCTAAATAGAATTGCTTCCAAATGCAATTTTCTCAGTTTTCCAGAGATATCAATAAGTCTTTACAGCCAAGATTTTCAGGGGACTTTCAGAATGATTTGAATTATTGCAGGACTGGCACAGAGTAAGCATACTTCAACCGTTGATGGTGTTGAAGTGGCTTTTGATGAAGATGATAAAATAGAGCATCTTATTAGTAGATATCAGGGCTCTCGTGTCATCTCCAAACCAAGGTACCCTGAAAAAATAGTGAGGTCTTAGTCCATACACAGCCTCTCCTCTCAGAGCTGTGGGTCAAACTCACATCAGCTTTTACAAAACGTTAGGGAATTAGCCAAACACAGTTCTAGCTTTGTAAATAGCAGCTGGAAAGAGAGTTCATGCTGGCTTTGAATGCTGCCATATCTATTTGTGAGTAATATTCAGCATGCTTTTTGATTGATTTCCCCACAGGATAATAAATTGGACTCAAACACAAATTTCTCCATCTTACTATGTCTTACAGAAAACCATGTAAATTTGATTTTCTTTATTATATTACTGTTTTACAAGCTTTCTGTTGTATCCTTTTACCCATAAAGGTGGCCCTACGAGGTCAGGGTTGAGACTCACAACCAGGATAGTAAAGAGAGGCTTGCACTACAGCTGGTTATTCTGTGAAAAAATAGGATTTCAGTGTTTAATGCTATAATTAATTACAGCACCTTTCATAGTTCAGCTTCACTTGGAAAATGTTTTCAAACATATGTTAAAAATGCCCTAAATAAAATAATGAATTTTTTTTATGCTGTTCAAATCATGAATGCTTCTATGCATCTTACAAAAAATAATTAAACCCAGAAAATTCAAGTATGTGAAGTATCTTTTAAACTTGCTGTTGTGTTAATTATAGTTCTTCCCTAAGTACAGCAGCTTTGAGAGAATCAACAGAAGCCTTTTTTGAGCATCTGAAGTCATTCAAGATCAGATTTCTAATATGAAAAACAGAATTTTTATTTGCTATTAAATGATCAAGAACGGTGGCAATGTTCCACCGTCAGTCTTAAAAGATCACAAAAATTTCAAGACTTTGCACTCTTTCTTTCTAATATAAACACCAGCCTTCATGTCACATTTAAGACTGCAAAGTGACTAATACACTGTATTGCACAGATGAATTTGGTGAAATGGGTTTATTCCATGTGGAAAAGTGTCCTTTGTATTAGGTAGTCCTTTCAATCGGATTAGCTTTTACATCAGACAAGCTTAAAATTGAATCTATTTACTTTCATATTTCACTTCTCTTAAAGTGTCATACTCTAAAATCAGTCACTGTAAAAATTGTATCACAGGATTGCCCATTTGTGTCAATGATTCCAGACTAATTTTTTTCACTTTACTTATAAACTGAAGTAAATAAGTTTATAAGTAAAACATTTTTTTTTTCCTAAATGTGACCCCTGCACATTCAGTCTGGGTTCAGCTTTTCTGGCTCAGCACATCATCACCCATAATAATTAGAACTTTAGTTAACCATCCTTTTCACAATGTACAATAGTATGCAGTTCAGTTTCTCTTAGTTGTATTGACTCTGCAAAAATAAAAAGTAAATAAGCAGATGAGACTCTGAAAGCATATAAGGAGCATATCTGTTGAGTAACAAGATGTAATTTCTATGTACTGGTAGTTACTCTCCTGACATCACTGCACTTTAAGTTGGTGTAGCAATTATTAGAAAAGGCATACCCTGTTGGAAAAATGTCATAAGTTCTATTGACTCCCTCACTTCTCCAGAATAATAAAAATGGCCACTCTGCTGTTCTTGTAAACCACTGTTTTCCTATCCAGTGGCCCACATAAGTTCTACCTGCAGGCTATGTGATAGAAACCTAATCACCAGATTACATTTGGTGATCTTGAATGTTCATTTATATTTTTCCCCATTCTCGTTTATCACCAGTATAACAGTTCAAAACATGGTTCATTTAGCTAGAAAATGAAAAGTTGCTGGAATTATTTGAAACTTGTGACAATGAATGGAGCAAATATTGCCTCAAAGTATAGAAGGAAAATACTTTAGCTATATTTTTAAATAATGCATTTATGACAATATACTTGAGTCTGTGGTAAGAACTACAAATTTCTGCACTGTTACAAATTGTCTATTGAAGATCAGTTTGATGTACAAATTCAAC